GAAGGCTGGTTCTCCCAAGCCGGCGCACAGGCAAAACGCGCCCAGGAACAAGTCGACACTCTGAACCAAGCCGTTCATCAGCAAAGCAACGAGATCGGCAGCCTTCCAAGCCTCAGTCCAATCAGCTGTCGGCTGCAATCCCAGTTTGAGCAGATCGAATCACTCCTCGCTAAGAGGCGCCGAACCGAGTGACTAGGCCGCTCTGGGGCACGCTTTCGGCCAAGCGTGCCGTCAGGCTCATTCTGCTTTCGTGCGCTGGATTCTTTTTCTGCTCCACTTTCACTCATGTGTTGGTACCTTACTGGATCCTGCTCCAATCCCATCCTTCAACCAGGAGCCCACCGGGGTGAGGATGACCCATGCTGAGCTCTTCACTGTCAACGCGGGGCCTTTGGGTTTTGGCCACTGCGACTTTCAGACTGGGTCACCTCATTCCCTCCCTGCTCCTTCGGCAGCCATTCACTCCCTCGGCGGGCTGGTCTCCTTCAATCATTCGCTACGGGGAAGCAGATCATCCTGGTCAGGTTACTCAGCCAACCACATGTCGTGCCATCTCATCCGAGTCATTCCTGGTGCTCCGGTCGCTACTCGACGATCTTCAGACTGGGGTCAGGCACGCTGATCACCTCCGACTTTCCATCACGACCGGTCGCCTTGCCATGGCGTGGCCTCGAATTCGACTCAGGGCGTGTAGCTGTTGCACAGCATGTCATCGCCCACTTTCCAGTTCTTACTACCGCTGTCTACGGTTTCCCCAGTGGACCGACATACCCACAGGCAGCAGCGAGCTTCTTGGTGTTCTTACACAAGAAGTCGTGATAGGGAGAACAGGTATTCGCCTCATCTGTGGAGACTTTAACCACAGTCCTGACTCCCTGGCCCAAGGTTCAGCTGTGGCACCGACATGGCTGGGTTGAGGCCCAAACGCTTGCCTTTCAACTTTGGGGCACTGATGACTTGCAAGGGTGCCACACGGCGTGATTTTGTCTATTTGTCGCCCCGAGGCGGCCTCAATGCTTGCTGAGGTCAGCGTTGTTCATACTTTCCAGGAACACGCCACAGTCATTGCCCGTTTGTCAGCTCTTGCGGGCTTGGGCTTTGCCTGCACTCATTCCTGTAAAATTGCTCAGCGATCCTTCCTCCTTCACAACCGCCACGTGTGCTCTCCCATCATCACAAGGAGACACAACTGACTGGTTTGCCTCATTTTCGTCTAAGTACGACGCTGCTATTAACCACGACAACAGGGGCATCAGCTCCCGTCTCGATGCAAAGGGCGTGGGCAACGCACAGCGCCCACCTTGCGCCCATTTCTGCTCCACTAGCCAAACCGAGTCGCCATGGGGAAGAGCGACTTGGCAGCGACCTTGTCTGTGCTGCAGTTCGACAATGCTTCAAACAACTACGACGACTCCAGTCACTCGTCCACGCGTTGCGGAGCAACAAGCTTACCGCCGAAGCCCTTGCATACCGGGTTGAACTTTGGGCCTCAACAATTCGGGCGCCTGGTTTCGAAGGAGGGTTCACGACATGGTGGCGCACTCGTCATTCACGCCTACCATACAGTCCCAGTGAGCTCCCCACCAGCATACCCACACGCGCACTGGCAACCTCAATCTTTGAAGATTTCCGTGCCAACTTTCGGCGCTTCGAGAGCTGGCACATTCGGCAACGTGCCAAGGCTCTTCGGAACCGAGCTGAACAACACAGCGCTACTCTCTTTGGGCAACTCAAGGATGAGCGACCACAACCTGTTGATACTCTCACTCTTCAACAAGACTACACCATCCTTGCAGTCGCCGAAGATGGACAGCAGGTTCTTCTTGACTCTGCTCCGCAAAGGCAAGGCAACTCGCAATGGTGGCACCAAGGTGAGATCGAAGAGGTCACTTGCCACAGCGATGCCACTTGCAACCTTTCATCAAGAACTACTTGCTTCACCCGGGCCAACAACTCACTCAGAAAAGTTTAGTCACCTCCATAGATGAGGTACATCAGGAATTCGTTTCTTTCTGGCGACCTCGTTGGCAAAAGCATGCAAACACCTCCCCTGACCGGTGGGAGCGTATCTTTGCATTCGCCCAAGCTTTTTTGCCAACGCGCACCTTCTTTGCCTGACATTTCAGTCGACCGCTGGCGATCTGCCCTCCGTAAATACAAGGTCATCGCAGCCAGAGGCACTGACGGCTATGCAAAGCTCGACCTTGCCAATATGCCAACCGCCTTCATTCGGCAATTGCTTCAGCTCTTTCACGGCATTGAAAGAGGCACCTGCCAATGGCCGCGACAACTGCTCACAGGCATGCCTAGCTAAATCTTCGATCGCCGAACAAGTCAATGACTTTAGGCCAATCGTCATTTTCAGCCTCATTTACCGCACATGGGACGCAATCCGGTGTAATGACCTACTGCGTCAGGTTGCCACTCTTTTGCCGGGCAGGGGAGGCCGCTGAGTACTGGTACACCCTCCATTCCCGCATTGAGATCGCAACGCAGTGCGGCTCTGGCCTGGCAGGCATCACCACCGACCTTGTCAAGGCTTTCAACAGTTTGACTCGCCTACCAACGCTTGCCATCGCCAGCCACGTCGGAGCCCCACAGAGTCTCCTTGCTGCTTGGCCCTCTTTTCTCGGTAACTTCCAACGTCGCTTCGAAGTCAGGGGCGGTCTCTCACAAGGAGTCTTATCCACGTGTGGCTCGCAGAAGGCTGCCCGATGAGTGTCTTCGCCATGTGCTTGGTCGACTTGGCATACCACCAATACTTCAAGGTTTTTCACGATGTCATTCGTCGACAACCTTGAATTCCGTGCGGGTGAGGCCTCACTCATTGCCCAAGGCTGGATTTTGCTCCTTGCCTTCTGCGACTCTTTCCAAAAGCCTGGCCTGGAGGCTCTACGGACTGCCCTTCAGCCGCTAGGACTCCGTGTCCTTGGAGGGCACTACGTCGAGCCACAGCCCCCTACCATTCCAAGCTTGCTTCGCTTTACCAGGTTTTCTGGCCGAAGGCTCTGCATGGCATTTCCATATGCTTGTTGAGCAACATCCACATCGGCAAGTTGCGGTCGGAAGCCACTCACGCATTGCGGGCCAACAAAGCTGGCGCGAATCCAATGCTTCGCCTGTTCCTCACTGGAAAAGCGGAGGCAAACCCCGGCTACTACCAGCTCGTCAGCGCGGTGCGGGACCTCCGCCGCATTTGCGGCAAGCAGCCACAACCGGTCAATTGCTACCCGGTCCTTTCAGCAAACTCCTTGAGGTGTTCGACACCATCTCATGGACCATCATCAACCCTCCGCTTGTGCTTGACCATGACGGGGTCCCATGCGATCAGGCACCGGCGAAGCAACTTCGGCGCCCTTCCATGCATGGGCTGCAAGGTATGGACTTGCCTCTGTGCCGACTTGACTACCCAAGGCTGATTCCTCACGAGACAGCCATGCTCTCGGCCATTCAGGATGGCCCTTTCCGAAGCCGAGTCCAGCACGCTCACTACGATACAGCCGAAACTCCTGACTGTGTCGTGCCCGATACCTACGAGCATCAATGTCGGTACCGTCCCGCACATCAACTTGCCCGGTCGCACGCTTCAGAGGTTACTTGCCTTTGGGATTCTCTCCCAGCTTGCTTCACCAACCATCTGCTTGTCCCAAGGAACCCCTGGTACCATGCTTACCGTGAGTTGCTTCATCAGGTGCCTGATCTTGCCGGTCGCTTTGAGGGACCTCGCCCTGCAGAAGGTCAACTTCAGCACCTTTTTACTGACGGATCTTGCAGTACCTATTGCGAAGGCTTTACAGTAGCAGCTTGGGCCGTTGTATCGGCGACGACGTCGGTTTGTATCTCTTCGGGACCCCTTGTTGGTTTCCCCCAGACTATTACCCGAGCCGAACTGTCGGCTTTCTGTTCCGCATGCCAGTGGGTACGACTTTTCAGCAGCCCACCATCATCTGGACGGATAGCAACTACGTATGTCAGGGGTACCAGGACATTCTCGCCGGTAACCTTGACCTGCACGGACGAGATAACCATGACCTTTGGACAAGGGCAAGCCATCTTGTTTCAGACTGTGAGCAGTTGTTGGTGAACGGTGAACGTCAGACATGTTCACTCGCACGTGCTTATACATGAGTGTGAGGATCCTTTTGAGGAATGGGCTGCAACCTGGAATGCAAAAGCCGACGCAGCCGCAGGTGTCGCTAACCTGAACCGATCTTTGCAGTTTACAGATATTCTCGCAGCTGCAAAACTTCATGTGCACAAGTATGCCAGGTTAAGCCGAGAACTGCGGGCCTTGTGCTTCAGCATCGCCCAGACCAACCTCCAAGCGCCCCATCCTGATGAGGATGAACTTGAAATCATTTTTGGTGGGGACGTACAGCAAAGAGCAAGAGATGACATCATCGCCGATTACATCCCGTCGACTGGGAGCTGCACATCGGGCGAGTTCCTCTCGGAGGGATTCCTGCATGTTTCTTTACATGCGCGCTGGAATGGCTTTTGAGCCATGATGCAGACACAGACGCTGCACGTGCCATCAGTTGGCTTGAGCTCACAATAGCCTTGCACGGAAGCGGTATTTCTTTTCCAGTCCCTGGCAACGGCAAGGACAACTGGGTTCCACTTTCGGCCAAGCCCTGTTCGTTCGGTCTCACGACTGTCGCCAGCCAAGTCAAACTGGTGAAGCGCCTGTACACGATTGCTTTCAATAACTTTCGTGTGCCAGGGATTTTTGTTGAGCGCATCAACATTTTGAGCTGTGGAGTCCACCCTCCCCAACAGGGCATTTGGGTAGGAGCTTCGGCGGACTTTGTACAGTCCACCAGGTCCGCTCTTTGCGAATGGACACTCCGCCGGCCGGTTCGCACTGCAGATTCCTTCACCTAGCCTAAAATGATCAGCCGGGTTGTTTCAGCACATCGCCTCTAACTTTTTCAGGGAACTGGAGGGGGTCCCTGTCCCCCATCAACCAGTGAACCAACGGACCGGGGGCAGCGCCTTGCCTTGAGGCTTGAAGTCCTCCTTCGAAGTCTTGCCCTTAGCAAGCCAAAAAGGAGCGAGAAGGGGGACTGCTTAAGGGGGACTCCTAAGGGGGACTCCTAAATAATTAGGACCACCCGCTTTGGCTGGCCTTTGTTTGTACGAGAAACATAGGAAACTTGAGGGAAACTTCGAACGCCGGCTTCTTTTTGTCGGGAGGTATGCATCGCTGACACTTCCTCCAGCAAGGATTTTCAAAAACAAACTGAGTACGAGACCGGGGGTCCGCGAACTTTCGGTATATCCAGCCCGTGTGGTTGCCCACAAGGAACTCAGAAATGATGGATCGTGTAGCTGCATCCCAACTGCAAGATGTAATTCCTTCCTTTTTAGGGCAGCAAAAGGTCAACTTCCTTGCGGAAGGACGTCGTCTCCAAAAGAGTCCCCACATGTCTCCGAAATCAAACCCGCATGTGCACATGAGGCCTGACATATGGCGAACTTGGGCAGAGGGGTAAAATGCTTGCGGAGGTCCAGGACCCGGCAGGTGACAAAGGGAACCCTTTCGTGACAACCCGCCAATGGACACCCAGGGAGAAAAGGGGATCATCAACTTCTTGTCGGGCTCTTTTTTCCTCCTCCAAAAAACAAAACGAGAAAAACCGTTTCAGGACACCAGTCAGTTTCAGGCCACTACCGGTCAGTTTCAGCTTCAGTTTCAAAAAACAAAAGCAACACCTGGGTTGCCCTCAGGTCCCCCGCTAAAAGTTTAACTTTTAGTGGGTTAAATGGAAACTTCCACCAAACACTAAAAGGCCAAAGTAAAAAAGACACACTCAACACTAAAAGGTGAAAAACAACTAAGGAACCGCATGGCCGGGCCAAGCCTCTGCCATGCCACGCAGCCTCATCGGCTTGCAGCACTTGCAGCACTGCACCGTCCACTCCTAGCGAAGGACATCAAAACGACGACGTGACGTTGCAAGCGGCACGTCATAAGAACCGATCGCATCCGGGAAATCAGAAAAAACAAAAAGAACCCCTGACGTTGCAAGCACAAACAAACAACAAAGGCCGATCACTCCGTGAAGAAGTGGAGTGGAAGTACATGTGGGACATGTTTGTGTGGTTAATGTAAAACTTGAGACAAGGTTCCACAGGTTGCCTCCTCTCTGTTGGATGAAACAGAGAGGCCAGCAAAGAGGGGCGCCATGCTTGATAGCCAGTCAAATAGTGGAAGTAACCCACTCGAACCACTTACCGAAAGGACAATTGCATGGTCATGTCAAAATGGATCAGCACGCCACGCGGTTGACCGACCGGTATTGACCAGTCTCGCTATTGATGGTTGACTACATTGGCCAAAAAGACCTGTCATGGTCATTATTAATGGTCATGAGCATTTTGGCTCACTCATCAGATAGAGTCTCTAGAGTCCCTGCCTTCAACACTTGCACCTTGGATTTCTGGGAACCTCGGGGCTGGACGTACTAAATTTGCTTCAAAATACTTTCTGCTATATGGCGTGCATGTGAAATAGCGTGCCAATCAGGACGTCAAGGACGGTCGGCGAAGTGGCCAGCTAGGAAAACGTTCTCCCCAATTTCAGTCTGCCACTTAGAACCAGGTTCGCACGGTTCCCGCCGAACTTGCGATAAGGCCATCCAAACAACAGTAAACCAACAGAGCACGCACAAGAGAAACACACCTCAAAAACGGCCAAAGAAGGGGGTTATGATTGAAAACAAACCATGGCACCTGGCAAAGGTTCGGTTCCTGTCAGTTCTCTACTCGGGCTTCATTCAGGTTCCAGGTTGATAGAGAACAGTGAAGACCTCGCCTTCGGAATGGCCTCCCTTTCCCCAAAACCTGCCTATTTTTTCACCCAGGTCCGGCACCCCCCAGATTGGGTATATGGTTGCAAGGCTCATGTGGAGCAGGGCCTGCTTTTCGCCTGGGCCTCGGGAGGTCTCATCTTCATTTCCAGGTAGTTTGGACCTCGCTGATGTTCGGTGCGGAATTTTGGGGAAGAATTTGAGAGGTGCATGGAGGACATACCCTGAAGTCCCACCCAAACAGCTTCCCATGTGCATGACGGGAACCGCACATCATGTTGACCTTGGCTCATGTGACGCAGTGCTGAAGACTCAAATTTAGACCACGGGTGGCTTACCTCCCATTATAAGCACGTTTCGGCATCGCAAACCCAACTCCAACATAAACAATGGCTACAAGTCAGTTCCAACCCCCCAGCCCCCATGGCTTTCCGATTCGACTCCGAATCCCAGGCTCTGGGCGCCTCCAAGTCCGCCAGGAGGTAGGCGTGGGAGTTGGCCATGACCTGCACGGTGGCCAGCGTCTGCCGGTTCCGCCAGGCGCCCTCGAAGACCGCCGCCACGTAGCTGGGCAAGGGCTGCCACTGGCCTCCGTGGAAGTTCTGGGAAGTTCCAGGCCAGGAGTTTTCTTGAGTGGCCAACCCCCCCCCTTTTGTTTTTGTGGGGTGTGTGTGTGTTATTTTTTGGGGGGGGTATGTGGAATCAAGCCTATGGTAGTTCGGCGGTTTGCTTTGCTGGGCACTCCTAGGTGGCCAAAAGGTTGTCAAACCACAGCCATGCCAACGCCTCTCTCTGCCTTCGGACGCACGTAGGCCCCCAAAGGGACACCACCCATCTGGCATAAGGATTGAGGATTCAATTGAAACACCCCAGAAAGAAAAAAACAAACACAAAACACGTTAAAATGGAAGCCAACCAACCTGCTTTTTTGCGAGTAGCCCCGACCCTTCCCTCCCGGCTCCAACCCCGCTCCGCCTTGCGCGAAGACGCGCCACTCCCAGCTCTGCGGCAAACTGGGCACCACATGCTCTGGCAGCTCCGGCGCCAAAACCTGTGGATCGATGCTCAACCCATAGAAAATTCCTACATCAGTCTTAATTAACATTGGAAAAAAGAGCAAACAAAATAAGTTGGAAGTGGGAAGTGGGGATTTTTGGAAGTGGAGGGGAGTCTTTTTACATTGTTAGTCTTTTTAGATATTTTTAGCAGTTAAGTGGGGATTTCCCACTAAACCGCAATAAGCAAAAAAGTAAACCGTTTCCCAACAACAACCATGCGTTAAGGGGAGTGCTTTTTTTAAAAACGATCCAAACAGGTACAAAGTGCAGAAACTCGGGAACGGAACCGGATTGGAATGTGGATGCCCAGATAGACAAATTCACACAAAGCACTATTGACAAACACCAGTCAATGGGTCAAGGTGCAGATTTCCGTTGCCAACATTGTCAACCAAGAAAGTGTTCGGCAAACGAACCACGGATGCTTGCTCTCCAAAAGTAGGCTATGGCCATGGCTCTTCAATGTCAAACGAAGGTTGCCCGACCTGTAGCCATGCTAACCCGCCGGCTCTGCACATGGAACCCCAAAAACGGGGCTCCCTCAAGATACCCTCAAAAACCGAAAGCTTCCCATGCTCTAAGGGCAAATCCAGGGTCCAAGTCTAAAACTTGCTGGCGCTCCGTAGGAAACGACCGACTCCGGGTGTTGGGAATGAACCTAGGGATTCGGAAAATTAAAGGAAACCATAGTTTCGGGATTTCCCTGCGCTCTCCTCAGGCCTACAGCAGCGCACCACTTTGAGCGCCCGCAACAAAGCCCCCCATCCCACCCTGAAACATGCAAATCCGAAAGTCATGCGCGGCAATCTGTACTCATCCAAGGTCAAGACAATGGTTTTTCATGTTTTTTCTCGGGTCATTCCAGGATTCCATTCAGATTCCCCGCCTATCGAACCAGCACCCGGCGAACCACCCGGCCCCCTCCCCGCCTCTGCACCCCGCACTACATCCCGCAGCTCAGGGCCGTGGACTGTGGCCCCCAGCCCCGCCACCTTCCTTGGCCAAACCCATGGATTCGAACAAGGCGCGGGCATTTTTTCCGGAGTTCTCGGGCGGTGTCCGGATTTGAAGGGCTGATTCTGGAGGGATTCCTTGGTTCACCATAGAAACCTGCCCTTTCCGTTCCGTTCATTGTTGTTTGAACCCTGGAAGGTGGACTGCCCTGACAAGAAACTCAGGGCTGCCCGAAATCCACTAGCTGTCGCGGTTTCTTGATCGGGGACAAAAAAATGGCGACTACAAGGAAGCCCATGAGGATGCTGAAGCAGCGCCATGCTCAAGGGGTTGGCCCAAGCCTGTCACTTCTCACCATGCTCCCGTCTGTGCTCCCGAGTACGGGCGCACTTGCAACAAGAATTCGCCCTTGGCCGTCACACCCAAAAAACTTCTTGGCAAAAGAAAGAAAACACCTTCTGGCTTGGGCACAGGTCTTGCCTGGGGGAAAAAAACAACCTCAGTTCCTTGGAAGTGAAAGTCAAGTCCGCACGAAAGCCCAAGTCCACTTCCATTGGTCCAGGGGATAGGATTGGCGTGTCTCAACTTTCCCAAAAAACCCTCAAACGTTGTGTCTTTCCATTTCGGGAACCATGCTCTCTTTGCTTTGGCGCGTGTTTTGAGTGTACCCTTTTCAGGCTCCTTAAATTAAAAACAAGCCAAAAGGAACCCTTGGTGTTCGTCGCAGTGTCCTTGGAGTTTACCCCTGCTCTGAGAGATCTCCGCCGACCTCTTCTAAACTCTCGTTTGCGTTACAAGTCACGCTAACGTTGAGCTCAAAATATCCTAAACAAAAACCGACTCAAGTTGAGCTCAAATCAACTTTGGCGAATCACCGGAAACAAAAAACAACAACCATCATGACTCCCGTTTCGATTCCCCCCGAGCTCCAAAGCACGTCCCGAGCTTCAGCGCTCTTTGCAGCTCCTCGGGCTTCGCCCAGCCTTGGAAGTTCTTTCTGACCTGGCGATCGATCCCCCGAGTTTCCGCCCCAAAACACCGCCACAGAAACCGCTAAAGAAAGGCTTGGGCATACAACTCCAAAACTAATATCTGCCTGAGTCCAGAGGCCGTCACTTTCAAGCTCTGCGAATTGAATGCTAGCCCCGTCCATTTCCCGTTCCCAGGCCTTGCCAGATCGCAAGCGCTTACGATCTGTTTGCCAGAGCACGCAAGGCGCCGATGGAAATGGCGGGTAAGGTTTCAAACTTTCAGCAACCTTAAGAGGCTCACAGCACACCTATCTCCTATACATGTTGCGTGTTTCTGAAGATTCGAGCTTTTCTTTGCGCAAACTGAGTCAAAACCAAAGGGGAGGAGCAGGGGTCGGTCCGCAGCAGCGAGGTTTGGCTGGTTCACTGTTCAAACATAGAGTAACGTTTGAATATGGTCAGGCTCACCTAATGGCAGTTGCAAACAGTACATTGGCGGGATGGCTTGTGCTGAAGGGTACGCATCTTTCGTCCAGGGTTGCCGTGCACTGGCCGCTGGGATCAAACACTCCGAGCCGGTCTGGTCCCAAATGGCGTGTTGACAAGCTTTGGATGAAGGTTACATCCCTGAGGCTCCAGGTAGGTGATATATATCCAAACTTGGAGGGTGTACATGCAAACACTGCCTTTTAGGGGCACCTTATGTAGGTGGTGGTCATACAATGCTCCCCCCATCATGTTACATCCCCCATCATGCAGACACTGCCTACAAGCCTTTGGCATGCCCCTCACATGGGTATGGCAGAGCAGCACATATATCCGACCTGGTATGTACAGTACCTAGCCTCTACACCCTCGAAAAGCCCAAACGGGTCGTAGATGGTCGTAGTGATCCAACTTTAGAAACCCAAATCGCCAGCTGGAAAACGGGCTTCCCTTTTTTGGCTGACCATGTAACGTCAAAATTTGTTTTTTTCCCCGCCTCAAAGTCTTGAGAGTCCTTGGTGGGCAACCCGGGGGCCCCAAACGGAATCTGTACCACGTGTTGTTTCCCATGAAAATAGTGCGAGCAGCACATGGCAACCCCAAATCAACTGCCTGGATGCGGAAGGCCCAAACCATTTGTTAGAGGAAGCTCCTTTGCGGAACCCGATTTTGTTCCATGCTGATTTGCAGGGCTGCTTCTTCGGCCACACAGTTTGCCCATTTGCAGTCCGACCTCTTGCTTGAGGCACTAATTATGCTAGACCCTACGTCAGAACGGTGCGACAGTCCCGTCGCACTTGACCCTACCCCGCTTCGACCACGGAGCACGTCGCATACGATTTTACCCCTTGTAGAATTCCGCACTGGGTCGCGTTGGGCGCACTGTGGTCAGAACCGTTCTGTAGAACACGTCCCATAGTTTGCATTCGAAGAAGTACTTCATCCTATCAACTGCCCATCGCCGCAAAATTGACACTGACAGCCGCCTGTTGAAATGAGTGTCTATAGTTAAGACAACCCAAACATTTGCAATTTGTACAAAGCATGACAAACCTGAAGTGAGTTCGACCCCCAAGTAACGGACCTGCATCATGAATTTGAGCTCGTTTTACAAAGGCAGCCAAATGATTGTACCCTGACAACAAACTACAACTATATACATGGGTGTCTTTGTTTGAGGCCTCTGTTTGGGGGTAGCGAAACCAAACGAACACAAAAAACGCCACCACTGTTAGATACCCCTGTTCTGAGCCAGGAAGCGATAAGGCGGCTCCGCTCTGCTACCTGGAGGAACGGCTGGGAAGACAGGACCACATGCTGCAGCACATCGGGAAACCCTTGCAGCTGGGTCTTCGCCTGCGCTTGGACGGCGTCGCGCGCTGGGAGAGCGTCTGGACCCACCACCCCGGGAGATGGGGTGTGGAAAGCCCATGCGTTTCGATGGAGAGGACGGCTGAGGGTATTATATACCACTATCGGGTTTTAGGCAGGTACCATGACCAGTACAGTCAGCATACCAGTGTTGAATGAGAGCAGTGGATGACTCTGGCGAAGAGCGGGCGAGTCAAAGGATGGATAGTGGCAACGGCACTCTTCTGCTCTGACATGGACTGCATTGATTCCGATAGGTCACATTGCAGCGAAATGCAACTCAGAACGCCACACCTTGCTCCCAAACTCCAAACTTTTGTTCAAAATACTGTCTGACCCCGTGCCGGTGGGCTGAACACTGTGAGAGTCTGCGCATGCTTGGCGCTGTTGGATATTTCGATAAACCTCTGCAACATTGGTCTTTGTGGCTTAAAGCGATTGTTTTTTGTTTTCTTCTGGGCCCAGTTAAAAGGAAACCAGCATAAGAATGTAGCAGGCTACTATGTTTGACGTCATCCTTGTTGATACTCTCGAGCAAATCACACCCCGTACTCCAAAACATTATTTGGACCTTGTTTACTGTGGGCCCCCCTCCCCCCTTTTCCTCAAACAGTCAAAATATTGCTCTAGTATTGCCACTACTTAGTTTAGTATTGCCAGCACTTCCTTTTGGGTTGCCACGACTTGATTTAGTATTGTTAGCACTTTGTTTTGGATTGCCACTACTTATTTAGTAGTGCCAGCACTTCCTTTTGGGTTGCGGGTTGCCACTACTTGGTTTAGCATTGCCACTGCTGAATTTAGCATTGCCAGCACTTCCTTTTGGCTTGCCCCTAAGACTTGATGGACATTAAACATGGTACCCACACAGTGCCCCTTAAATATGATCAGGGCCCCTTGTGGGCAACCCCCTTTTCAGGACTGTTTTGGGAGTGTTTTTTGATGGATTTAAGTAAAGGATTTTGATGGTTGGGACTTAGGATCAAACCAGGAATTCTCAGAGCTATGCTTCGTGGTTGATCCAAATGTGCATCAACGGGGGGGGGGGGGGCGGCTGCCAACTCAACATGTTTCCCTGTATTTTGTGGCGTTGTACATCTCCCCTATAACACCGCAAAAGGTAGTGAGTGGTTTCAAGATAGTGGAAACTGTCTTGGATCAAAGGAGTCTACCCAAAACATGTGGAAGGACAAAAGCCGACTGCGCACCAGTTGGTATGGAGGAAACCCAATGGGAGTTTCTGAAACTGGTGGACCTCCTACTGGATGATGCAAAAGTAAAGCCAAACATAGACCCCAAATAGCGAAAAGCAGGCCGATGATTGCGCACCAGCACTTCTAACAGCACCCCCTCCTCCCGAAGCGCACCCGGCCGTCCATCTTGTAAAAATGCGCCCGCACCGTCACCAGCACTTCAAACAGCACCAACCATCCCAAAACACCTGCACCAGCGCCGAAAACTGCACGCGTCCTAGCACCCTGCCGTCAAGCACCCGCGCCCGTCACCAGCCCCCCCCTCAAAACAGCACCTTCACCAGCACCCCAAACTGCATGCCCCCTTGCACCCTCCCGTCAATCTCACAAAACTGCGCCCGCACCGTCACCTCCAACAGCACCCCCCCAAAAAACACCCCCCCCTCCACCCTGCCTTTAATCTTGAAAAATGCGCCTGCAACCTTTAAGTAGCACCTGAAACAGCCCCAAACAGAGCCCTAAAACAGCACCTTCGCCAGCACCCCAAGCTGCATCCCCCCCAGCAGCGCACCGTCAATCTTGCAAAACTGAATGCCTTCTAGCGACCTGCCGTCAGTCTTGCAAAAATGCGCCCACACCGTCACCAGCATCTTGCACCAGCCCGAAAACTGCATTCCCCCAAGCACCGTGCCGTCAGTCTTGCCAAAAATGCGCCCGCACCGTCACCTGCATGCCCCCTAGCACCCACCCGTCAATCTTGCAAACATGCGCCCGCACCATCGCCTGCCGCCAATCTTGCAAAAATGCGCCCGCGCGCCTCAAACAGCAGCAAGCACCTTTGCCAGCACCTCAAACTGCATGCTCCTAAGCACCCAGCCGTCAATCTCGCAAATCACTTTTCCCTTTACTAGAAGTTAGAACCCCTATAGCTTTCAGTACCTGAAAAGCAAAACTGTGGATGGAGAAACTCCTGCAGTGCGGACCCCTTCCCATCCTTCAACGACCAACGCGGTTGCCTGCGCCAGGAGGTCGGCAATCTGATGCGTCGTGGCTTTGAAAAAGTCAAAGGGCCCCAACTCCGCCACCACCACGCGCTCCTGACGAGGAGCACCCGCTCCAACGTGTCTGAGACACCAGTTTTCTTGCATCGGATAATCGAAACACAGTTTCAGCTTGGATTGGCTGGGATCCACAACTTCTCTGTAAACTGAGGAACTGGCTTTGTACTCATTCAGTACTCTTTTTGTACCATGCATAGCTTCGTAAAAAGGCACATCGAACACAAAGTGACAACGAGTCCGACTGCAAATTCAGGCAATAGCCCTCGCCACCACCGCAAGTCCGCCCCCCGCGCCGCCACATGACACCGGAAAACCCCCGCCTCGTTGAAATGTCACTCAAGCCTATTACATTGTGACCCTTTCCCATGACGCGACTACCGACTCCCCAAATCAATTTGGATTCAACAAATGGACACTTGGGCCCTCCCTTCCTGTGCACTTGAGCAAACGTTCTTGGCTTGCCTGTTGATTTGGGTGACCCTAAATGGGTTAAACAAACAATCAGCGTTGGTCTTTCTAGGTTCTTCAAGCTTTCGATCCTTCACGCTCGCCAAAGGTTCCTTCCGCAAACTTCCGTGGGTCATCGTTTCTTCCCTGTCCTTCCCCAGTTTGCAAGGTGTGCTTCCCCGAGTATTGGCGCAGAAAGGGCCGTCCACAAACCGACAAAGTTCATTTATCAAACCAAAAAGCTTCCACGAACCCTTCCGCCGAAGCCTCCGCTTGCTTCCACACACGTGGCGCGGCGCATATGTTCAAGAATTACGTCCCCCCACTACTTTCAAATTGTGGGCAAACAAGCCGACGCTCACATGGACTCTAGGATGCTACATATGTGAAACTGTGATTTGGTGCAAGTTGGAACCCGCCTGAAAGAACCCGTTCAGGATCCCCTTGTTCATTGCCCCTTTCTTCAACGTGTTGCGCTTTTGGAACTGGAGCGATGTGGGCTCAAGGGTACCCCCCCTCCGACAGCAAATGATCTACTGAGTACGTAATGGTTTCTAGTGGAGAATGAGCCTTTGTTGTGGGCATCAGACACACCTTGGGCGATACATGTTGAGGGCGGTTCGTTCCCCATCTTCTGGCTATGGCCAAGGGTGTCATAAGCCTCAACCATTCAGCACTGTCAGGAACCCTGCCTTGACCCCGAAACCGGCTGGTCTCACCCTTAAGCCACCCCCCGGTCTCACAGCTGGCAGTCCTGTCAAGAGACACAGCTGTACATCACAGTAGAGTTCCAAGCTTGCAGGTAAGAGAGTCGCGATCGGACAGGAGAACAAATGCGTTTGGGTGAGCAGCATCTGGGAATTTGGAGCGTTGCCGCTGTCTCCAACAATGGGACGCCCGCGGTGGGTGGCCTTGATTCCCGCCAATCGATCCGCATCCCACCGGCTGCATGGATTTCCCGCGCCTGGTAGCAGAAAATGGCCGAGGTGCCCAAATCCTCAGGTGCTGACAGGGGGAGACTTGCAAGCTTGGCATGCGCTGTGGAAGCTCGCCGAATGCATCAACATGAAAATTCTTCCCATGACGACCCTGTGGGGGGTGCTTCAATCCAGGTGCTTTGATGTCCACCTGAAAACTGCCAATCTGTCTTTGGAACACACGCATGTGACCGACTCTGAGTTATTTGTGTCCAACCACGGCATCCCGGAAAATATGCTATATGCACTGGACTATCAGGCTCCGCGGAACCCTGGTTGGCAAAGGCAAAAAATGTACCGGCCAGGCGGCCAGTCCCGAAAATGGGACCTGGAATGGGAAGCTGCAGGGCTCCATGGTCGAACGGCAGGGCAGGTTTCCGGTGGAACTTGCAAATCACTTATTGGTCCAAATGGAAATGGCTTCGAAGTAGTCACATTCCCTCCCGGCACTCGATTCAGATGCTTCTTAAGTAATAACATCCATACACACCGAAACATTCTGAATGTAAATGCCAACATTCTGAATTTTTAAATGCCTGATTCATGAGCTTCTCAAACAAATCCTCGTCGCTCCGAAAACGGCCAGGCACTTGATCCACTCCCTCTGCCGAGTTCTCGGTTGGTCGCCCGCGCATCGCTCCCGGGGGCCCGACGGACCCGAAGACGACGGCGCCGCTGCGCAGCTCATGAGCCGCCAGCGCGCACAGAGGCGCTGACACCAAGGAGAGGCGAGGCACCTGGACGGGAAAAGGCCCCCATTTGGATACGGTATCTTAAGATACCGTCCAAAAAAGATGAACGGATTTGAATATCTTAAGATACCGCCCAAAAGGATGAACGGTTGACATAGATGTGTTTTTACATGGGCCCAAGGTAGCTGGAGAAGATACCGATGGGTGATGGGTGCGCCGTCATCTCGGAGAAGGACCCCTAATTGATTCCCCGTTTGGCTTCGAGCACATCCCAAAAGTGTCAAAATCAACAAAAAACAAAACAGTCAGAAAAGGCTAGCTGCAGGCGCCCAAACACGATGGCGTAACTGGACATTCTCAAGACGTCATTGAAGCTTTCGCGCATTGGCGAGGTTGAGGACGTCTGGAGATCGCTCAGTAAACGTTTCCGACTCGCGACCTCAAGCATAAAACGCTCTTCGGCGCGACTTGCTCTTTCTCGGTCTTTCTCGTTCGCGAGAAAGAAACTGGTAGCCCTTGCGAGGCATATATAAAGCCATGAGAACGACGGATCATACCCAAGCTGCTTCGTTCCGCCAAAAAACGCCCACCAAATCCTACCCTGGACAACTGGGACTCTGAACCCCCAGCGCCTGAAAGCGACGATGCAGGATCTTGGCCAAGCGGTCGTAGGCGACACCTGCCCAAACACTCCGTGCATGGAATATCTCCTCATGTGGTTCCCTTCAAATGGATCAAATGGTGGTACAAAATCCATACATATATATGTCATACTACTATATATATATATATATTCACATGCTGTCGCGGGAAATGACCACTGCCCGCACAGGATGTTGCCATGCTGCGGATCAATCATGATGGCTGATGCTGCCAGTTGAAATAGGCGAATCAGCCCCCTAAGAACACGCGGAAGCAAGTTCCAGTACTAAAATAGTACTGGCATTTGGTAGATGTGTGCATGTGCTTCCGGTATGTGTGAGGTGCATGAACCCTTGTAATCTGCCAATCCATTCAGAATTTCGGCGCGCATTAGCCAGCCACCCTGAGTCCTGAGCTACCATGACTAAGGTCATAGCGTTGAGCAAAGGCTACAGTCCTTTGAAGGGCCAATACAAGAAAAAGAAACAAACACAACTCGAGGCTGAAGGGTGAGAACTCTCTCACTCACTTGATGCTCCTTGACAAAAGCTAAAGTTTGCTCCAGACCCACAAACGCTGTGTGAACAAACTGTACCCATGCAAGCTGCTGAGGTGCGTTCCAAGCATGTAGTTGAACTGTTTGGGTCTTGACTCACAAAACATGATGACATGAGAACACACAAGCCAAGCAACACCGACAAGTGGGTCTCTCCCTCTGGCAAGCCTTTGACCTCCTCTGGTACAAGCTAACTATGTGTGATTTCCCCATGCACAGGTCCGTAACACCCAGGTAGAACGTTCCTATCTGGTGCATCGCTCCGGTCCCGTTGCTCAAGGCGCTTGTCACCCCTGGCACCATCGGCACTACCAGGTGCTGCTCGCTGGCAAGCCACGGCAGCTTCCGGAAGGCGCAAGCGAAGATCCTTGGGACTTGCAGTGGTTGCGGTTGCACGAAATCCTGCAGCTGGTAGGGTTGGACGAAATCGTTTGTTTGTCATGGGGGTTCATCCATCCAGATTCAGGAGTTTGGCCATGTACCAACAAAGTATGATTCATAGAAGGCGACCATCTTCAGGTGAAACCCCAGAAAAAGGAAAGGGCCCTTGGAGTCGAGCGGAGTCGAGTCAATTTGGATGCCCTTCCCTGCAACACAAAACAGCCCAGTGGAATCTATGGCTGTGAATTTGAATGGGTGACCTCTTGGTGCCCATCGCAACTCATGGCTGTACTGTTGCGCCCATATTAATCAACCCCTGGTTTATTCATAGGGGGAGGTTCCCCTCCAAGAGTGGTCTGATTCGCCCCTAAGCCAGGGATTGATTCATATGGGGTCAACCTTCTTCCCAAGCCCTGGAACCCTAGAGCCGCAGCCCAGAGCCGCAACCCAACCTGAGATCAGAAAGACCGTTTCGAGGAGCAAAAAAAACAAAACCGATTCCCTGGCCCAGGCACTCGGGGAGCACCTCGAAATCCACCTCTTTCTGGAACCAGCTCCGCCTCTCCAGGCCGAAGCCCGGCCCTGGCACGGGAGACGCGGCTATCGCCTGTCTGGAAGAGCTGAGAATCCTGGCTGAGGGAAAAGGCCCCTCTTTACACTGGAACAAAAAATCACTTTGGGGCTTTTTGGGGGGCACACTTCTCCCGTCTTCAAGCGCCAAGGGTCCCTAAAGGATACAACTTTGGGCCACTTCACAAACCAGCTGCGCCCAGCCGCGTTTGCCGGCCCCCAGCAGATCCCAGCCCGCGCGCTGCTTGAAGGACCGGTCCCAGCCCACCCCCGTGTTGTCGTGCTCCGCCACTGCGGGCACTGGGTCGAAGTGGCAGCTCTGGAGGCAAGAGCCCAGGAACAAGACCTCTGGCGAGGCGCTCGAAGGAGTCTCCAGGACCCCTAAAAGGGCAAAAGGGTCATCACACCATTTATGTCCTAACAAAGATGGGGTGATGAATGACCCCTAAAAAATCGGGTGATTGTTCAAAGGCTTGGCGCACAGGAAATTCTACATGAAACAGCTCACTTAGGGTGTGGGGCCGTTTCCTGTAGCTTTCCCTGTAATCAAACCCGTTGAACATAGGGTGATGACCCCTTTCTTTTGGGTCATGACCCGATGTTTGAAGGGTCATGGAGACTCCAGGTAGACTGAAACCAGAAAATCCTCTGCAATGTCCTTGTCAAAAAATGAACCCTGACCTTAGAACCCCAGATTTCTTTGGGAATGAAAGAATCGACACCCTGTCAAAAGGACCCCCCGACAATTTGATATCAAACGACCTCTGGGAGGGGCCATTTTGGGGGCCATCTGACAGAAATCCATTGGGGTCCTGATTGTTGGTTGATCTTCAAGGAAACCCTGACTCAAAGGAACTAAATGCAATGGCAACTGGGTCCCCTGAAGTTCCCCAGTAAAGGAAGCCGACAAACCAAACAGGAAAAGAGTGCTGAACGGGATCCACGTTGGATTTAAGCCCTGAAGTTCATGTTGGAGTTGCTCCCCACAAGTGCCAAAAGCTTAGGGCGTTTTGCGAGCTTGGGTGTGAATCTTAGCGACCGCGCGCACTGAACAGAAGACAAGGGGCTTGCGAGGGGTGGAGGGATGGAGGGATGCAATTACAAGGGGCGGAAATGCCCACGCGATTCGTGAAGGAAAGTGGACACCATCTTGCGGGCCCACAGGCTCTCCACCAGTTCGCAGGAACCTCAATAGAGATGGGGCACCCTTAAAATAGACACTCATGACTCATAATTTTGGCCTCAATTCCTGTGGATACCCACATTCCGATTCCCACCCGCAGAACTCTTCAAGGCACTGCCACCGGTGCTTGGGTCGTCAGCAGGTGCTGCTGCCGGTAAAGGCCCAACCAGTCCGTGAGCTCGGGATCCAAGTCGTACGCGTCACCTACGCACGAAAGGCGTGGAAAGGAAAAGGGGGAAAGGGGCATAGACCAAGCTTTGAGGTTTGTAGGGTGATTGCATCCTTGTCAGCCATGTCTTTTTTGAAGAGAGAGGGGTATGCTGTGAGTGGTGTGTGTGTGTGTGTGTCTGTGTGTGTGTGTGTCTGTGTCTGTGTCTGTGTCTGTGTCTGTGTGTCTGTGTGTCTGTGTCTCTGTGTCTCTGTGTCTCTGTGTGTCTGTGTGTCTGTGCGTCTGTGCGTCTGTGCGTCTGTGCGTCTGTGCGTCTGCGCGTCTGCGCGTCTGTGCGTCTGTGCGTCTGTGCGTCTGTGCGTCTGTGCGTCTGTGCGTCTGTGCGTCTGTGTGTCTGTGCGTCTGTGTGTCTGTGTGTCTGTGTGTCTGTGTGTCTGTGTGTCTGTGTGTCTGTGTGTCTGTGTGTCTGTGTGTCTGTGTGTCTGTGTGTCTGTGTGTCTGTGTGTCTGTGTGTCTGTGTGTCTGTGTGTCTGTGTGTCTGTGTGTCTGTGTGTCTGTGTGTCTGTGTGTCTGTGTGTCTGTGTGTCTGTGTGTCTGTGTGTCTGTGTGTCTGTGTGTGTGCGTGTGCGTGCGTGTGCGTGTGCGTGTGCGTGTGCGCGTGCGCGTGCGCGTGCGCGTGCGCGTGCGCGTGCGCGTGCGCGTGCGCGTGCGCGTGCGCGTGCGCGTGGGTGGGTGGGTGGGTGGGTGGGTGGGTGGGTGGGTGTGTGTGTGTTGTGTGTGTGTGTTTGTGTGTGTGTGTGTGTGTGTGTTGTGTGTGTGTGTGTGTTTGTGTGTGTGTTTGTGTGTGTGTGTGTGTGTGTGTGTGTGTGTGTGTGTGTGTGTGTTTGTGTGTGTGTGTGTGTGTTTGTGTGTGTTTGTGTGTGTGTGTGTGTTTGTGTGTGTGTTTGTGTGTGTGTGTGTGCTTGTGTGTTTGTGTGTGTTTGTGTGTGTGTGTGTGTGTGTGTGTTTGTGTGTGTGTGTTTGTGTGTGTTTGTGTGTTTGTGTGTTTGTGTGTGTGTGTGTGTTTGTGTGTGTGTGTTTGTGTGTGTGTTTGTGTGTTTTTGTGTGTGTGTTTGTGTGTGTTTGTGTGTGTGTGTTTGTGTGTTTTCCTGTGTAAATGGCTGTTTCAACGCCGGGGCCCTCCTCCAAAAAGATGTTCTTTTAGGCTAAATACGAAAGAGGCACGAACAATATGTTCTCTGTGTTTCCAGATGAAAATCCAGCGGGTGGCCTTGGCTCTCGGTGGCTTCTCCGAGGAAATAGCATTGGAAACAATGCGCAAGTTAACCTAGCCGAAACTGGTGTTGTACAACATTGGGGAAACGAACAGCGGCTGGGCGGCTAAGGGCTTCCGTTTGTCGACTTGGACAGGGGCCTTTGCAGATCAACCGCTGGTTTGGAACGCCGCCATGGTTTCATATCAGGGCTGCACATTGAGGCGTTCATGTTTTGTTGAGGGTCATGATCCTTCGTATTTGTTGCTCAAATGCGAAACCAAAAGAAAGCCATCTAAGTTGCGGTTCCATGTGGTCTTGCTGCACGGGCCGGCCTAAATAATAATAATAACCATAATAACAATACCTATCACAATAACAAAAAAATAATGACAATGATAATACTAATGTAATACTGATTAATAGTTATAATATGGGCATGCGGCAATTCAAACAAGTGCGGATTTGAGGTAATTCAAGAAACAAATTCATCGCAGCCAAACTTCACACTCCCTCCAACAATCATGCCAAAGAGGAAGCTGGAACAACTGTCCTGTTGGGGAACCTCTCTGTCCACTAGCAATGCTTTGGCCGTGTCTTTGTTGCGGGGTAATTACCCCCTTTTGTGTGGTTGTGAAAGGAAACCACAAGCAAAAACCTGCTCTTTCAATTAGGGGGGTCCCCCAAGAAACGAAACACACACACATTTACCCCCTTTGGACAAACCCACGTTCCACATTCGCCGCAACCCGGGCCCGAAACGAGGGCCTTGCATCAGCTCGCTAGTGGTCCAGCGACGCCTGAAGAAATCCCGCCACAAAGCACCTCAGCGCCGAAACCGCCCTGCAAATGTCCTGCTAACACTGGATGAGTATGTTTTTTGGGGAACCCCTCTTGGTTCGCACTGGATGAATATTTGTTTTGGGGGGAACCCCTCTTGGTTGGGGAAGGGCATCTAAACTGAGACATGCCATTTTGGGTTCCCCTATTTCAATTTCAAGACACCCACCCACTGGGGATGGAACAAACTACACGCCGGGCACCAGTTGCGATTGCTGGTTTGTCGCAGAGGGTTTCATCCATCTTGGCGTGCAGCTTTTGCGCACAGCACTAGCAGAAACCGCAAGCGGCCGCGGGAAAAAAAGGGGTTTGGTGCCATGAACACTTGGTGCACTTTGTGGCCGAGGACCCCAAAGCCTTACCGTTGCGAAATAAATTTGGACAAACAAACAAGCGGGGATGCGGAGGGAGCGGGAATATGCGGGGATTCCCTTGACGCCATTTCCCATAACTTAGTCAAGGTGCATTTAGGGGGAATCCTCCCGTATCCCTGGTTCCCCCTGTATCCCTGGTTTCCCTGATAAATAGAGCTGGATTCCCTTTCCACGAGACAACTGTAGGGGTCTCATCCGGGTGTTCGCTTCGCATCCGGGGCTCCACCGCAAGAGATAGCACGCCATCTGACTGAGACCGCGAAAAGCCCACAGACCTGGCACGGGCCCAAGAACCTGGGGTTTCCAGGTTACAAGGCGCGGAAGCCTGAACTGACCATCACTCGGTTGTTTTCTGCTCCCCTGCTAAAAGTTTAACTTTTAGTGGTTTAATGGAAAACCCATCAGTTGGCGAAGAGTTAAAGTCCTGACAGCCAGGCAAAATGCACCAAAGATCAGGTCACGCCACCCCTGTCAAGGGGAATGTGACACCTCATGCTGGCATCCGGTTACTCCGATCCGGGGACTGGCAGAATCAGGCTGGCGGGAGCTTCCCAGGCTTTCGGCGGTTGTGGCTGCTCAACCCGGGCCGGAGTCGGCTCTTTCGGCGGGCGGGCCGGTCGCGGAGCTCGGATGCCACTTAAAATCTATCAACCCCAGACCTGTTGGACAGGGAAAAACTTCACTCCCGGCCCGAGGCTTTTCCAGGCCTCGAACGGCTCCAGGTAGCTCATCACAGTCTCCCAGGTCTTGTCCTCCAACCCCAGCCTAGACCTCAGTTGTTAACTTCTACCCAAAAGTCTACCCATGTTGGTGTGATTCGAAAAGGCAGTCCAACGTCTGACACCGCATTGCACAGAATAGTTGCTTCGCCAGTGCTCCATCCTACGGCTTTTTGGGGTGCACTTCACGGGCCTGGAGTTGGTTGCCCTGTTCGGGGACAAGTCATTGAACATACCATGGATCCATGGGCTCACCCCACCCATTGCTGGGGTTGCATGTTGATTGTCCTTGTTTCCTCTTTGAGCATCACCCTACCAAAAGGAAACCCACTTCAAAGTCTGTGATTGTAAAGTGCCCCCCCCTCCCCAATTCCTTTTTCCTGGTTCTCCTTTCGGCGTCCTTCCAAACAAAATCACAAACACAGCAAAAATCCTCGGAAGAAGTTGACGCCCAAACCTCGGGACCCTGCACATCACCGATCCGCGCCCAGGGGCCGGGACGTCTTGACCTCCGTGCCCTGGTGTGCAATCTGAATCCCCAGCGCCTGGGAGCCCACGGCGCGGAGATCGAAACTTCGAAGGGCGGTCGAAGCAAGGGACGCCAGAAACGAGCCAACAAACAACAAAAAACCGGGAGAAAACAACAAAAGTCCAAGAAGTCCAAAAAGTGCAAAAAGTGCTACAAGTCCCAAAAAGTCCAAACGACGCCGAAAAAGTCCCAAGAAATCAGGGAGAAAACAGAAAGTCCAAGGGAAACCAAGCTTGTTTTCTTTGGGGAGGTAAACCCAGACCCCCTTTCCAAGCGTCTGCAACCACTTGCCAATTTTATCAACAACTGCATGGGCAAGGCTTATATGTTAACCTTACTGCAATCCTTGTTGATTCAGGGCCAATGCAGGGTTCCTTGCAATGGACATGACGTGCTGCACACGAGATTCCTCTAAATCATCTGGTCAAACGTGATATTCAACATATCCCACACGCACAACAGCAAGTTTGCGACCCGCCTCCTCCACTAACTCATGTGCTGTCTCTGGTTCCCCAAAATGCCACCTTGCCCTCCTTCCACCATCACCTGTGAGAGGGTACCCTCCTCTTGAAGGAGCCCCTCAAGTGCCATGTTAGGGAGGGCCTAGGCCAGAGAAACCCGGTGCCTTGCCTCTTGGTAGGCGCTGGTAGTTGCCTCCGCGTCCCCGAAAGCGGCCAAGTCCCCGATGTGCTCGTAGAGGGCGGCCATCTTTTGGAACAAAGGGTCCTCCACGCTCCGCGTTGACCGGCCGAAGTGGGCTTCCAACTTTCCAGCTTAGGGCCATAGGGTATGCCAGGGTCCTCTCAAATGGCCCCAGTGAAACATGCGGGCAACCAGCAACATGGAGTTCCCGCCCTCAAATCCTCGCAAGTCTTGGGAGCACCCTGCCCTTGGTGACTTCAATCTGACACAGCACTTCAAAGAACTGCCGTGCGCTTGTTGCTGTTGATATCACTTGCAGGAGCGGCAAATCCAAGACACTTGCCTGTCCGGTTTAAGTAAACCCCGCCATCCAAAGGCGTCGTTTTCAGAAAGCCGGTCAGTCGTAGGGATCAACGGGCCCCGGAGGGTCCTGGAGGTATGTATTGAACATTCTTAGAATCATGTCCAAATGTTCCTCAAGTACTTGAACGATTTCAAGCAGAGTTCAGGCATGTCCAACAATTGTTCAAATATATTCCTGAAAGGCGTTTGTCAATGGGGGAAGGACTAGTGTGAAGAAAACAGGGCCAACTGTTGAGACAACAGTTGCAAACAATTTGGGTCAAGGCGTCTAGGCATTGCCCAAAACAATCTCAGATGCCCACTGGCCATGAAAAAGGGCCTCCTTTTTTGGTTGGTTGACTTTAAAACGGGAACCTCCCAAAAAAAGTGGAAACCAGCGCGCCACTAAACAACTGGGCATGTAGAGAAAACAGGCTTCGGAGTCAAGAGAGCAGGACCTAATGTTCTAGGGGGACCTTCCCCATTCTTTCCAGGAATCCTTGTGTCTAGAAAACCTTGAGAAACCCAGGGAAAGCGGAAAGCTTGTGAAAAGAACGATGGCTGACAAGAATGATGAATCAACCCCTTCAAATATTGAGAAAACAGTTGAACACAGTTTCCAAGGAATTGTCTAGGCCATTGCCAGAGCCACAACTAGTATCGACAAAACATAACTTCATGTCGAGGAAGAAACTCTAACGTGTTCCCAACAATGCCCAACACTTCCAAACAGTTGCCAAACAATTTACACAGTTGCCCAAACAAATCCAACAATTCTGAAGAATCTGCCAGGCAAATTCTGAAGATTTGCCAAACAAACCCAAGCATTGCAAACGATTGTTATGCCGTAAACTTATTTTTGCTGACTTGCTCGAGCGTGCTGGACACCGGCCTATCAACAAAAGGATTCTGCGCAAAATGGTGAACAGGTCACTGGTGGCTAAGAGGCCTCCTGCCATCCAAAACACCTTGAAGTTGGGTTCTACCAACAGACATTGGGGTTTACATTTGGGCCTTCACTACATACAGTCTCTAGCAAAACCAGGTAATGGAGCCCACAACCATGGCTATGGCGTTCGGGCGCTGTCCTCTGCATACTGGGGCTTTGATGGAGCTGGCCGCCGATCGATGCAGCGAAACATCAGCTCGCTGCGGGCGACCTCGGTCGGGGCATGCCCTTCTCGGGGTCCAAACGAAATTCGAGGGACCCCCCACCCCCCCCCCTAGTGGCCATGGGGAAAGAAGAGCATCCCAGCCCCCACCCCTCCCTCCCCCCAGTGGTCATGGAAGAAAAAAAGGCATCTCAGCATGCCTCCCTGGCAAGAAAAAAATGGCTCTGGTCTCTGGCTTATCCCTGCAGCCACGCCGCATACTTTGCTCCATGGGTGACGGCCTCGCAAAGGATTTCCATCGGCGCCAATTTGTTTTGTTGGTTGATTTGCAAGGGAAGCCCATCCCCCAAGAAGGGAATACACCTGCGTGGCTGGCAAAACACTGGCCGATCCGAGCAACTGGGGTTGTCCCTTTTGTTGGGGTTTGAAGGGAATCCAACCCGGGAAGCCGAAGCCCATCTTTTTCCGGGTCATGGGGAGAAGAGAGCACCTGATCTTTCCCTCTTTCTCTCTGCTTTTAAATATGAACACCCTCTCAAAATGGAAGACAAGGGAAGACACCCACCGGAGGTCCGGTCAAAACCAGTTGACCCAGCAGGTCAGAATCCCTTTTCCCCCAGCACTTTTTTGATAGGTTCCAAAAATGGGTGGTGAATTCACCTACCCACCAAACTGGGATCCCAAAACGGTTTTGACCACAGCCAAGTTGACCTGTCGGTCGGGGCCTCGGCCGAGTGCTTCAGGTCGTGGGGGAAGAGCACGGCGCTGCCCGCGCGCGGCACGAAGCTGGTGCCGTCCTCAAAGGCCAGCTCTCCGCCTGGCAGGCGATGGTCTGGTGCATGTGGTCGCCCAAAGCTTTGTCTCAAAGCCACCCCCTAAGTGGTGGGTTAAGGGAGACAACCCCATTTTCTGACTTTGACAACCCCTAGAAACCGTCAAAATACTGACCCCAGCTTGGGTTTCTATGAAGACTTGACCCTCAAACAAGTCGGTGGCTTGAAAAAACAAACAAACCTGCTTGCAACCAGAAACCCTGGTAGAACGAGCAAAAAAACAATTGGTATCCACGCCCACCTGGGCAAACGAAACAAGCTGCTTCGTGACCGTGGGGACGTGGCAAGAGACGAAAGACGACTCCTCCGCAACTTAGACCGCCGGACCCAGGGAACTGCCGCCCTTTGGGATTCTATGAAAAGTTGGCCCTTAAACAAGTCGGTGGCTTGAAATTTAAGAAAAACAAGAAGAAGAAAAACGCTTGCAACCAGAAACCCTGTAGAAAACAAACACAATGACACCCTGCTTGGGGTTCATTTCATAGTGGGGAACCCGGCATGCGCAGCGGGGCTTAGACGGTACCACTTTTGTATTTCAGTTGCGACAATGACCCAAACATGTAGAGAATGCTATCTATGCCTTTGGCTTGCTTTGAATTTCCAAAAAAAAAACACGGCGACGTGTTCAGAGCCTAAGGCTGCTCAACTGGACCCAGACCCATCGAGTTTCACCTCCCCGGCGTGGATGAAGGCTCGTGTCAGGGTCCCACTTTCTGGGTCCATGGGTGAAGCGAAGCTTCGTAGGGTGGCCGTTGGGGTCCAAAAAAGTGGAAGAATGCCCATCCTGGGTGAACATGAAACATGATGGTCGATTTAGCATCCAATACAATCTTAAACGCAATGGGGCCAGGACTACCCTCATTCCTTCAAGTCATGTGCCGTGTTGTGTAAGTCTGATTCACCGAGATCGCCACTTGCGCATCAACTGACTTGAGTTTGCTGTCAAAGAAGTGGCTCTTGCAGGAACAAGTCGGCAAATATCGGGAAAGCAAGTATGTAGTTACAGAATGAGGCCACAAATGGCTCAGGTTCAGCCTCTATATTTTACATGTCATAATATGCCTTGTCCCAAATGTGAATGTTGCAAGCAAGTCTGCCCAGCATGACTCAAGGCAGTGAATTCAAACAACCTCTTCCTGTTGGTCCTGTGCCTGTGTTTCGGAGCTGCTTGGCTTCTTCGGATGCTCTCAACCTACTCCGCGCCTTCGAAGTTGTCGTTTAAGTACAGCACCAGCGAATAGATACTGCACTCATCCGCGTCGTTGGCGTACATACCGTCGCAGTGTGGAGCAAAGTGTTCCTTGCTGGCTTCCAAATTGTTTCACAGCGAACTGATCAGTTCTCGGGCCGTCATCTTGCATCTGTCGCCTAGTGATGATAGGGCTTAGTGATTCACTCTGACCCAACAGAGTTGAGCCTTGCAACTACGTCTGGTTTTTCTGTAGGCAGGGTAATATGCAATTAGCATGGTGGGGTACTTTAAACCAAACTAGTTGTGAGCAGGGGCTAAACATCGGTAATTGTTTCAAAAGTACTTTTTCCCCGATAACACCTATTTTGACACGTATACCCATTCTAGTCACCCAAGGCCTCGAGGACAGGCTCACGATTGAAACCACCACTTGCCAGATCGAAAATTTACACTCACCAACCTGGTTGCCGTTGTGACAAACAGGTGCCCTGAAAGCGGGAATCAAAGGGTAGCCAACACTGCTTCAACCGCCTGTTTCATGTTGAGGTGCTCATGCCAAACATGCTCTGGCGATCTATCCTTTCTGCCGTCGGCTTTGCCAGGAACACTTCAATGCCTTTGGTCGATCGAAACTTGATGCCAAGTCACTCCCTCCTTGTACTGCGAGATGCGAAAGCAAGGATTCACCTCAAGGTGCAAAGCCCTGGTGGGCAAGGGGATGACTCAACCAAATGGGAATTCTAAGTTGTTCATTGATCTTCTCCCAACTGCAGTTCCCACAAGGAAAGCACTGGACGGATTTGAGGATGGTCTTGAACAAAGCAGCCCAGCCCAACACTCTTTCGAATCGGTTCAGCCACCATTTCCAAATGGAAGTATAGAGCCCAGCCCGCTTTCCCAAAGGGAGGACAGTCCTTAGTCTCAATCACGCGTGTCTAACACAAACATGCCCTATTCAACAATATTCCAGAAGAACATGTCGTCGGGACCTTCGAATTGTTGATTAAAGGAAATGACTCCTTTCCCATTCAAAATCCGGGGTCAGCCTACAGGTAGAAACCGGTTTCACGGCTACTGGAAACCCAAACTTACGTATTTGAGGTTTGGTCAAACAGCTGGGAGCTATGTTTTGCTTCTGGCCAAACACTGACTACTTACCTCTCAAACAGGGGGCCAACCTCTAATTCACCATGTTTTTCAGCCACTGTTCAAATTCATTCTCCTTGTGTCCCCTTAGCGGGGACCAGCCCTGGTGGTGCTTCAACATGTGCCCTCAGCTGCCCCTCCAAGAGGACCCAGACATGAAAGCTCAACCTGGGACCTTGACAAAACATGGACCCAAAGGGAAACCAACAGCTTAGAACCTGCCCCCTTCAGGCAACAACCAAACACTACACATGTTTTATATAGCCCCCTTGACGCCACCAAATCTCATCGGTCGGCTACCTCCCGCCAAATTCCCCCAAATTCCGTCAACGCGCCCAAAGGCGTGAGTGCCGCCCAAACCCCCCAAACAAACCCCCCAAACCCCCCAAACTCCCCCAAGCCCCCCCAAACCCCCCGATGACCTGCGTAGGCTTCCACCGGCCCTCGGCGCCGAAGCCCATGGGCTGCAGCAAGTAGATGTCCCGGTGCTTCAGCTGCGGAGCCAATCGCCTGTACCTCGAAACAACTTGCCATCAGTAAAAAAAAACAGGGAATGGGAAATGGACTGACCCCTATTTCTCCATCCAACTGGTGGTTTCCTTGCACCTCCAGGTCCAACCCCGGCAACAAACTTGCGATCGCTGCAAGAGATGTGGGGAATGGGAGATGGCTCACGACCCCGAGATAAACCATCCAACTGGTGGCTTCCTTTAAGGGAAGCCCCAGAATCAGTCCCTCATTCCCTACTTATCGCACCAGCAAGACAAGACACAAAAACAAAAACGCGAAGCAAACCATACGGGTCTCAACTCGGATGTGCATGGGCTGAACCATGGCCCACATTTGTTTTTCGGATTGGCATGGGGTGATCTTCACAGGAAGACCCTTCCCCAAAAAAAACACGGCAAAAGGGACTGGGCCAAAGGCTCGAGGCCTTAAACCTTGTCTTATGCGGATTTTTGATGCAGCACCCAGAATTGCTCGACCAACCTCACTTGAACACGCCAAGCCCGGATTACGGCCCGAAACACTACCAAGGGGCAAAGCTCCCGCCAAAGCGTCGCTGAAGTGAATGAGCCGCGAGTTGTTCCGCATATAGCTGGGGAACTCTCTTGCCTTTGCCGGGGGCGCATATGCGGGTTGATCAAAAGGTCTTTTTACATGGGGTGACCATTCGGGAAACCACTAAAAAAAGATACGACATTCAACACTAAATGGGAAAAATTACTCATGGTCATTTTGGGGGCAGGGACATTGATCAACCCCCTATATGCCAACTTCTGATTGGAAAAACAAGTTAGGATGATGCCAGGGGGGCTTGGAGAAACATTGGGTATAATGGTCAACGACCCAAACAAGAAACAACCATGATGCAAGTACAAGTGCGACGCCATACATTCAGCATGAAGCGACACAAAAATGAGAAGTGAGAAAATGGTAACAGCATTCTGGCTGTGTTGGGTCCAACATGGGCGGAAGTCGCCACAGCATAAACCAGCCGTCTGCTTGCGTCACCCTGACGGTGAAAAATGGTTTTGCTCAATGCATAGCAGTCAGCTACAAGACATTCATGGACATGTTGCAGGAATTTACCAACTTCACCAAGACATGAGTGATGCATGGGACGTGTGAGGGTCCGACGTGCTTGTTTGCTTAGTTGTGACAATGCCCATCGAGCAAATCGACTCGCAACGTGCGCGCGTGCCAACCCCATTGAATGACACACACCAAAGGTGTCTTGGCCTTAAGCCTCTCCTCCAATTCCCCCAGATTAAACATGGCCAACATGGCCGGCAAACCTGGCGCCAAATTCCACGCAATCCAGTCAGCTCCCCTCAAATCCCGCCAATGCGCCCAAAGGCGTGAGTGTCCCCTCCCCCCCAACCCCCCAAACCCCCCAACCCCCCCAAACCAGCCAGCTCTCGTCGGCTCCCAGCTCCCGTTAGACTCCGCCAGCTTTTCTTGGGCCCAGCGGCCACATCGCTCTGATCGAAGCCCCTGGCTCGCGCGGCTTCGGTGTAGCACGCGGCCTCCTCCGTGGAGAGCAAGCCATGCCTCAAGCATTTTGGAACCCCAGCGAACCAACGAAAGGAGAACCAAGCCACTTGATAAGGCCCCTCTTTGAAAGTGGCCTGTGATTCTTGATGCTTGCAACAAATCAGGAGCCTGTGGCTTGGGTCAAAGCTTGCTTGGACCGAACCGGACCCTCGCTACTTTCGGCTAAAGAACTAATCATTGGGCATTTTCATGTAGGGAACACAACATGGGACGTGGTTTCCCTTTCCAGACCCCATGTTGTACAGTGTATCCTCGACTGGTAGCTTGGATTTGGGGGGGGGAGGGGTTGGGGTGTTGAACCCTCCTCCTGAACCCAAAGAGTGATATGTCCAAACCTCTAGCGCCTTCTAGTGAATTCAAACCAGCAAGGAGGCGAAGCTGACATGCCCGAACGACTGGGAAACACAAGGCGAGACCAAGAGCTTTGATCAAAACTGGAAGTCTACTGCGAACAAGTGAGACAACAAATTGTTGAAACTCAGACTGGGCCAAAGCATGGGAATCGTACTGCTATGATGCCACTGGCAGGCCTATCAAATGACGAACTCATCCCATGCTGACTGGGAGCCCGTAAAATGCAAGCGCGACTCTTCTGTGCCAGCTTTGCTTGAGTACTCCTCACAAGCTGAAAAGTTTGGGTGTTGGGCCTGGTGTTGACGCCCAAGACCAGCGAATTCTAACTCACCACCCGTAAGGACTTCAAAGGTGTCCCCTTGTCGTGCTTGTGGTGCTAAAGGGAAGCATGGATAATGAGCAACAAAAAGAAAAGCCACCACTCCCTTCCTGAGTGGATGGGAAACAAGTCTGAACTTTTTACCCACTAAACTGGTCTTCCCAAAAAGCGGTAAAGTCCAGCAACTTAGGGCCTTAGGCAGTGAGAATGGCTCGAGAAATGCTGCAAGATGCAGGGCGAATGCCCGGCCAGTGAGGTCCTCCCGGACCACCTGCACACAGTCCTCAGGAACGCTGCTCAAACACGCCTGACAAAAACAAACAAGCAAGAAAAACAACTAACAAACAAGCAAACAAGCAAACACAGCACACAAGCAAGCAAGCAAGCAAGCAAGCAAGCAAGCAACAAAGAAAGAACAAAAACAAACACAGCCGTGCATCCGTGAAGAGCGTGTTTGGCGTTGGCAGGTCCACGTGGCGGCTGCGAGCGTCGTAGACGGAGTGGACTGCTGGGATCTCTTCCTGTCGGTGATATGTTGAATGGCCCGGAAAATCAAAGACTCCCCTCCCTGGTAAAGAAGTCAGATTCCGATGCTATCTTGCACCCAGTATTCTATTCAATTGATTTGGGTATTAACTGGGAGCTCTGGGGAAATGACAAAATCAAAAACCTTGTCCCATGTTGGTTTCCGTAGCGAAGTGGTAAATGATGGCTATTTGGCCGCTAGTCCCAGCACCCTGCTTTCCATGTTTCAACCCCGAGTACTGTCCTGCAAACATCCGCAAGGGGCCGGGTCGAAGAGAGTATACAACACGGTCGCAGGATGGTGCTGCTCAAAAAAAATGGCTGGAAGGCTGGACTTCTGTTCTAAACGTGTTCGTCTTGTTTGCCAATTCAATCGCACTTTACAGACAAGTTCACCCACTGCCCCAAATGAAAGGAAGCATAAACCCAATTCAGCAACGTGTTTTGGGGATCTGACATGTAGGTTTTACCCTCAACCGCTAGTGCACAACGAAAACCAACCCAATTTTCTACCACCCACGAACTGCTCTTAAAAGATCAACATGGCCCCAACATGAAACATGTATCCATGTTTCAGGGTACTTTACCAGGGCTCTATTTCCCCTTTAAACATCCCCCACCAAAAGGAAACTCACTTCAGATCGGCCAAACAAGAAGGGAATACAGAGAACCCTGTTTGAGGAACACTGGTTTTCCACACAGCGAGAATAACAAATCAAGCCTGCACTCCATTTGAATGAAACGCGCCAATTTCCGGGCCCGACCGACGTGCCTCCTTCCCCGTCATCGCCGCGCCCCATGCCGAGCACTGCTTCTTCACTGCCGCTTCCACTGCGGCCGCTGGGTGCCGCCATTGACTTTTCCCCAGGCTCGGCCTGACGAATCTTCGGCGCCGTGGGGTGGGTAGGGATCGGGGCATGGCTCGTTAAAAGCGGCGAGAGGTCTATGGGTTGATTCCTTTTCCATTCTTTGCAACCATCGTTCTTTTCAAAAACCGGAGCCGTTTCCCTGGGTTTCCGGAGGTTTTCTAGAAAGAAGGATTCCTGGAAAGAATGGGGAAGGTAGCACTAGAAGACGAGCCACAAGGGGGTGGGCATGGCTGGTGACAATCGGCCCTCTTGCCATTTGTTCAAACACCCGTCCGTCGACTCCCCCTGTTTTGAAGGCTTTGCACCTCCCGTGGCTAGCCTAGTTGCTCTTCGCTTCCCTTAGTAGGGGTGATGTTTTGAGGGCAAATATGGGTGGGCGTCAAAATGCCAAATAGGGTGGCCCGAATCCATGTTTGGGGTTCAACTGTTGGCTTGCCTGTAAACCAAGCCCACAAACAAAAACACAAAAACACACAAACACACACACACACACACAAACAAGCAAACAAACAAACAACAAACAAACAAACAAACAAACAAACAAACATGCAAACATGCAGCAGACAGACAGACAGACAAACAAACAGACAGACAGACAAACCAGATCAGACCAGATCAGACCAGACCCGACAGGACAGGAGACGACAGGACAGACAGGACAAACAGACAAACAAACAGACAAACACACACACACAAAAAAAAAAAGAGCGCACAACCAAAAGCAAGCAAGCAAGCAAGCAAGCAAGCAAGCAAGCAAGCAAGCAAGCAAGCAAGCAAGCAAGCAAGCAAGCAAGCAAGCAAGCAAGCAAGCAAGCAAGCAAGCAAGCAAGCAAGCAAGCAAGCAAGCAAGCAAGCAAGCAAGCAAGCAAGCAAGCAAGCAAGCAAGCAAGCAAGCAAGCAAGCAAGCAAGCAAGCAAGCAAGCAAGCAAGCAAGCAAGCAAGCAAGCAAGCAAGCATAAGCAAGCAAGCATAAGCAAGCAAGCATAAGCAAGCAAGCAAGCAAGCAAGCAAGCATAAGCAAGCAAGCAAGCAAGCAAGCAAGCAAGCAAGCAAGCAAGCAAGCAAGCACAAGCCAACAAGCAAGCAAAAGCAAAACGAGAAAGCAAACAAGCAAGCAAGCAAACAAATACTTTAAACAAACACACACACACACACAAACACGCACACGCGCGCACACAGACACACAGCGCGCGCACTTACACACACACACACATTCACACACCCACGCACGCACGCACCCACCCACACACACACACACACACGCGCACACACACGCGCGCACTTACACACACAGTCACACACTCACACACTCACGCACGCACGCACGCACCCACACAAACAAACAAACAAACAAACAAACAATCAAACCAACAAACAAATATCAAACAAACAAACAAACAAACAAACAAACAAACAAACAAACAAACAAACAAACAAACAAACAAACAAACAAACAAACAAACAAACAACACACACCCATGCACGCAATGCACGCACACACGCACAGGCACAGGCACAGGCACAGGCACAGGCACAGGCACCCACACACACACACACCACTGGGGTGCGGTTCATGGCCCAAAAAGTCCAAGAGCGGCAAATCACTGTCTGGTATTGTTGTTCCACCTAGTCCACTCCGCAAAAAGGAGCTTTGCAGATTGGGCTCGTAAACAAAGGCAAACGATGATAACCCGGAAACAGAACGCCGATACTGCTCGCACAAACTGACTGCCAACAACTGCGCGCTAAAGCTTGACACCGGTCCTGGACAAATAATCAAAGGGACCTTCCAACAGAGGGCGAAAGGCAAAACCAGGCCGCACTTGCTGGTCTTGCCCACCCCCACCAACAAGGTCCCCAGGATATTTCCGAAATCAGCCCAAAGACTTGCACTGGGCATTGGTTTCCAGATGTTTCCAGCTGACCAGACCTGTATCCTGGGGGCCCCCAAGCGACTGCCAGGGCGCTGGTGGTAGTAGACCTCCCCTTCCTCCGTGCGGCAGGGCACCCAGCCGGCAGGCAAGCCGCGGATCTGGTCGCCCCTGTCCTCCAGTTTGATCATGGGCCCCCCCGAAGGAAACAAAAAAAAAACACGAACAACAAACACCAACCCAACCACCAACAACCAACCCAACCACCAACAGGGGGGCTCCATGTTGTTTTTCTGGGCAGTAGCCCCTGTGAAATGAGCCTGAGATTCTTGTCATGCCTACTCGGCCACTCCGCCTCTTTGGGGATGACATTGGGGGAGCTTCCCCATTCTTTCCAGGAATCCTTCTTTCCAGAAAACCTCAAGAAACCCAGGGAAAACGGATCCGGTTCTTGAAAAGAACCACGGCAAAGAAAAGGAGTCAACGAGTAGAACTACGGATCGAGAAACCAGACATGTCTCACAGTTTCCAGAAAATTGTTCAAGTGTTTAGGCCATGTCGAGGAAACAGAACTTCGTGTCGAGGAATCAACCCGAACAACCCCGAGAAGAAAAAAAAACCCTCCCGGCTCCTCGGCCAAGAGCCGCTCCCTCGGCGCCGGCAGCACCAGGGACATGGGATCGATCGCCGTGGGGCCGAGCCGTGGCCCGGGCGCCCGTGGCTCGGGGGCCGGAGCGGTGAGAGATGCGCTGAGAGCCGAGGGGAACGTGGAGACAACTTTCTTTTTGGGGGGGGGGGAGACATTTTGTTTTTTGACAGGGTAAAAGAAAAATGACAGGGGCGACACTGCAAAAATCAAACTTTCAGACGTCCCCGCCCCCCCCCCCCCCCTCCATTTTCGCGCACTAAGGGGGTGGGGATGAGACAGGTCGGGTTTCCATGTAGGCATATGGTCGATCCCAAAGTCTTCCCCAAGAAAAACATGAATGAACTCACAAAATGGACCAGGGCACACCGCTATACCATGCCATACGCAAATCTATCTGAAAAGGCCGGAGATTCCGACGCGCTCTGAGACCTCTGCAAAGCCGCTCGAGACCTCTCGCAGGAAGGTGTCCAGCACGCCGGCGGCCTCGCAAGAGCTTCCGCTCCGTTGGCCGGAAGCAATCCCATGGACTCCAAAACCCCAGGGAGTACTCAAAAATGGAGTACCCCAATCCGCAGGCTTATGTGTCAAAGAGAGCTGACCTGGACCATTGCAGAAAAGCCATTGGCTCTAGCACATTCCGACCACTGCAAGCCTTGAAAGGGCGCTGCTCTTGCTCGAACAGAACTAGCTGCAAGTCGAACTTCCACACCAGCACCCGCGACAAGTCGAAGAATAAGGTACATGCTGCCCATGTCTATTCCAACCAATTAACATGGAAACTGACGTTCGGGGGGTCCCGGCGGACCATTTTCCTCTTTAGCGGGACCCCAAAAGTCAGGTTCCATGTTAATTGGTGGGAGCTTCATGCTTTTCGGAGGCCATGGACGCTCTTTGGGCAGCGCACGTGACCCCCTTGGGGTTTGAAAGGGGTTGAGTTCAGCTAAAGCGAATGTCCAAAGGCATGTTTCATCTTTGATGCCAAGAGAAATGCACCCCGAAACCTCCCACAACCTGCCCCCAAACAGCTCATGGAAGATCCGGGTTCCCAAAAGTCCTCATAGTTTCCCCCACTCAAGCCGGAACGCGGCACACAGCCCATGTCACTCCTGGGTGGCACCGTCCTGGGACAGCTCAGCCTGAGCTGCGTTGCGAGGTTGTGAAATTCACCCAGCTACACGGAACAAGTTACGAAATACCCCGCCCTCCCACCAACATAGCACCTGCGGGAGGGTACCTGGAAGATCAATTTCCTCTTGAAATTCACCCTCTGTGAGGTGCCATGTTAGTGGGAGAGGGGGTACTTCCAACATCTGAAGCAAGGTATCCCGAAGAAAAGGACCTACCTCATGGTAGGCTCGGTTTATCCCCAGCTCGCCATGAAATGGGCAGAAGGCTTCCTCTTCCTCACACCGGGCGCCAACCTAGAGGGGATTCCCTTTTGAGCTGGCACAAATAGTGCTGCGCAGAACTTAAACCCATCAAGATGGGGAAACCTAGAGAGCCTAGGAAAGAAGCAAGCAAATCGCAGGCTCGGTGAAGCCGACTGTCTTTGAGGAAAACATGGATTCCCGAAATGGACTCTCAACGGTAAGTGCCAAAACTGAAAGCCAACATTTGCCATGACTGCACATGGAGGCAAGCTCGTCCGTGGTTGCTATGAATCCCATAGGGATTGAAGCAGATTTGCTGTGAGGTGCCTAAGGATTTCTGGAAGAGGATCTTTGAGAGGCGCGGAGATCCAAGGCACAGGTTAAGGGGCAGACATGGCAACTTGCCTGCGCAGCGTGCTGGAACAAGATCTCACCAAATGATAAGAGGCAAACTGAAGCCACTGGAATCCATCAAAGGCTTGGTCAAGGCCCCATGTCTTTGAAAACCAACGGCTCTGGGCGGCCTTGCCGCCCAACAGCCAAAAGGGCCTTCACGTGCAAAGTGCAAAAGGCCCATGAACGGCTGGGAAAGGCGTGTAGCTTTCCCGCTCAAATGGAATGCACCGTCTCACCAACAAATATGCAAGTGCAGGGGGATTCAAAATCACACCTCGAATAAATGATTGACATGTCGATTATCTCCTCAAATCAAAGCGATCCCTTTAGCCTCCTTCCAAAAGCCTGGGAAGCTTTGGAGGGGGTCCCCTGTCCACTCTCATGGGTACCCTCTTTCGATTGAGGGGTTTTGAAGCCCCTGGTCCACAAACTTCTGTGTTGAAACACAAATAGGGGCAGTCCCGAAATGAGAGTGGGTGTTCCTTTCGGCTTCGAACCTAAGAGTAATTACTCTCCGCCCTGAAATTAAAAAGACGAAGCTCTTGACCTGGACGAACACCGAAGCCAACTTGGGGGGCGCCACAAAGGTCCAAAGGTGGGACCTTGGGATCTGCCCGGGATAGACCTCAGCTCCAAGGCTCCAAGGACCAGCCAAAAAGGTCAAAGCTGGAACCTTGGACCTGGGGCAAGTCTGGGCACCCGGCGGCCAAGTTGGCGCAATTCCCTCTGTAGGTCTCCGCGGCTGCGATGGCTCGGGCCAGGCTGTCCGCGGTGACCTGTGCGCGTGCGGAACGTGCCAGGCGCGGAACGCGAGTGGTCCCCCCCCCCCAGGTCCCCAGTTGCCGGTTTGTCTTTAAGTACCATGGGCTGGTGTTCACCCCCCTTTTGGTTTGGGCTTTGTACATGGGGCATGCAAATCTAAATCAACGCTGAATGAGCTTAGGTGGGGTTCCCGTTCCGAAGTGCCTCTTGAGATGTCAAAAGCAGCTCAAACAAAACTACCAGCTGAAGTGAGCCCAACCATTGTTGGTCATCGCCTGAGGTGGACGGCTTGCACGGGCCTGCATGTTCATATCCCGTGCGTCCAAATGTCTACACGTATGTTGATTCCAGCCATGGCCCAAAAACAGGATTTTGGACCCAGCACAACACACCCACAGGCATTTCTTCAGATGGGGTGTGAAGCTCTCCCATCTGGGTGGCCCTTTCGTCAATAAACTCCGCCCGGTGCCGTCGCCGGGCCTGCTGCAGGGGCTTCGTGAATCCCACGCCCGCACCCAGTCGAGTCACCTTGGAACAGCTAAGTGGCAAAGGGGCGCGAGTCGCGTGCAGGTCGTTTGCAGTACATGCACCCTCAAACTACCATTAAAATTAAGCAATGTTCTCCCAAAAGTGTCAGTATTCTCCAATTTTCGAGAGAAAGCTTAAGTATCCAGGTGTTCGTTCAACTTTCGAAGCTGCGCCAATGACTTCGGCTGGGCCCATTGGCTTCCTTGCAGTCACAAGGCATGTCCACGGCACCCTTCCGTCGGCACCGACGCATCTGATCATTCCGGGCCGCAGCATTGGCATTGTCGAACTGGTCGGCGAAAATGGGCCTAGCCGAACAGAATTGGGGCCCCCCGGCAAGGCTGGGCTTGCTAATGTTGACCCCCTATTATTCAACCAACCGGTTTATTAATAGGGGGGTGTTGAACAATCCCCACTACAACCAGGACACCCCCATATGAATACACAGGGGTTTATGAATAGGGGGTGTTCATTAGAGCTCCTCCCCCCTTCCAATTTTAGAACAAACATCTTCTTCCCCCGGCGCGCCAAGCGCGCCGCGAAAACACGCCTGGTTGCAAACGCCAACGCCCCATGCAGGGCCTCCGAAGATGCACCGACTTGCGCAGTGTGACTGGATCGCAGGGAAGCCACCGCCCAACAACCATTGACCCGAATCATTAGAGAACAGGGGTTTTGGAAATGAGCCTAGGGATTTTTTGAAGGCCACTGCAAGGGATGGCTCATTACCCCGCAAAGAACCAGCGCAAGCAAAAGCGAACTCTGTTTGGTGGAGCCACTAAGCCGGGCACGTCACCACCGACCTCATGGCGAGCCGGCCGCCGGTGTTGGGAAGCAACAACACCCGCAAGAAACTAGATCCAACCCATCCAACCCATCCATCCCATCCAGGGTTCTGATTTGTTTTGACTACCCCAAGACTTAAACCCAGGGGTTTCCCCTTTGGGGAAATCAACCACCCCTGGGTTTAAGTCGACTTTAGTCAAAAAATAGCTCCCTGATCCCATCAAGGCCGGCAAACCAAACCTCCGAACCCAGCACTGGATATCAGAAGACCCGCGAGCCTTCGGCCGCAAGAAACTGTGCACCGATTTGAATCAACAAGGAAAGCAAGAAAGCAGTCATGGCCCACTTCAATACCTCAGCTTTTAACAGCCACTTCTAGTCTCCTGAGTGTGTTGGTTCAGTGAGGGGTTTGGCATAGGATATGGAGAGCAACCTCTGGCTGAAACTCAGGGAACGCGAAAAGGAGGACGGTGTGGGCAAAGTACAATCCTCACTTGCTGAGTGGATTGGCCAAGCTTTGCTGGCCTCTCAAATAATAAGTGTCCAGAAGCCAGGAATGTGGGAATATAATATCCGGCCAACCCAAATTGCGGCGTGATTGCATTTGTTAGCCTGCAAAATTGGCCAGCAGCCCAGCAATTCTGTCAAATAACAACTTCAGGCTTCCATTGCATGGTCTCTCCAAGCATCACAGCAAAAGAAACCTCAAACCAACCTAGCGACCAACACTTAATCTTCGAAACCAGCTACACTAAAGGGAATCCTGTTTGGTGGGTGTTTGGTTGCTTTCTCTAATATCATGACGCAACCCACCCCGGAAATATCAGGAACCAGGAAACCCTGAGATACTGGACTCGGGTCGCGGCGGGATGCCGGCAGCCAGCGCCCTCTGCCTGAGAGATTGCCGGCTTTTGGAACCCAACGCGCCGGCTCCGGGGTCGGGGTCCCAAGCTTATAATAAGCAGCTGAAAACGGGTTCGCCTGACTCGGGGAACACTTGGCTGGAACTAGGACCCCATGCAAAAAATATGTTTTTGCCTGGTTAGTGGAAACAAAGGGGACCCCAAAACAAAACAAAAAAAGAAAGGGGAGCTAATTCTGGGGAAGAAAAATGGCCCTCCCTGTTCTCTGCACTTGATGGACAACAGGGACAAGTTCCACCTCCCTCTCGCCTAGCTTGTGTTTCGGATCGGGGTGCCTCTTAACTGGGGCTTGCTCCAAGTCGAGAGAAGGTGGTTTGGGTTGTTCAGCTTTGGTGGGGAGACCTCACTGACATAAATGGGAAGCAAGTCCAATTCACCGATTTCTTGAAGAGAGCTGCTGGAAACCAATTTGTTAAATGGGATTCCAAGCCAAGAAGCCAGCATCCTGCTGGGGGATCGCTGCTCGTTTAAAAACAACGGTACACTCTTTGCCGGGTGTCGATACCAGGGACCACTTCCAATCGCTTCATATTGGTTTGAGCGACAAGTTGTTCCTTGCAAGACCGTCGTCGCCCAAAGGCTCAGGCCCAATGATAAGCTCTTGGCCCTGAGCTGGTGCAAACAAACCACCCAGGGCAGCTGATGCAATTCCGGCGTCTTGCCGCCGAATCGGCGATCGCACATAGGCAAGCCATGAAACCAAGCGCTTAATGCCAGTGGACACAAACCAGGCTGTCCTCCTCAAGAGAATTGGTCTCACAGGTGTTGGAGCACCCTTTGCAAGCTGCTGCATTGTCAACCGTCCTGAATATCAGTGAAGGCCCTTGTCGCCGCTGAGGGTCTGCGGTTTCAACGGTGGGTATGTCCCTGATGCATGATACAACATGCCCTCCATGCAAGACTGTGAGCTCGGGAAAAATCCGAGAGCCATTCTTTTCAAGGCACGCTGAGTCAAAAGGGACCGTGGAAAGACTTTCGGCCGGCGCCGAAAGGCCAAGGCCCGATTCGCCCGATTCGCTTTGCAAGTGAGCACTGACCGAGGGAAGGTTCTTGGTTGCAACGTCCCAATAGCCCAGTGACTCTGGCAAATAAAAAGGCCCACGGGAGTTGAGTGCGTGAGCTTCTCAGTGGTCTGGGATCCGAGGGACCGAAAAGTTCAGAAAGACTGCACATTTTGCCCAACAGAGTCCATCTATTGCTGCCGACTATAGTTGGGTGCAAAAGTGTCAACTCCTCTTCCCACCCTCCAATGACTGCTTTAAACCATGTCCAAACCCCAAGTGATGTCTTGAAAAGTCGTTGGGCGCTGGGTGCTGCAAGTGCCATCATGCACTCCGCGTTGGGTTGGAGCCCCTTTTGAAGCCAACCCCTAGACACATGTTCATTTGTGGCTGGCGGGGTAGTCCTTGAGATACGGGTATGCGTTAAAAAAATGGCCCAACAATTGTGAACTTCTTGGTGCCCCTTTCAACTTCCCCAATTGGTTGCGTTGGAGGTTAGCTATAGTTTCATTTACCCTCCAGGAGACCCAGGGTTCGCATCCCCCACTCACACCACCCCAAAAATCCAGTATAACGGTTTACCTGAAAAAAAGGCAACCCTCGCAAAAGCTTCAATTTTTTGTTTGTTTAAAGGACCTGGACCAATTGGGGCGAGTGTGTTTTCTCAATATTGAGGACTTGTCACTTCTCTTTACAACAATCCCAGCGCGCGTTCCCCAATCTTGAGACAGACTCACCTCTAGCGGATGCTTGCCAAACCGCAAGGTGCCGGCGCCCCCGTGGTGGACCAGGCACATGCACTGCGGCAGCAGCCACTCCTTGGAAGACCGACACGCCCTTCAAACAAGAAAACAACGAGACCTACAAGTATGTCAAACACAAATCAGCATCCGAAGTTTTTTGGCCTAGTTTGGCCTGATTTCTCCCTGCCTAGGTCTTTGTGGCGTGGGGCAGGGGGGAAGGGGTTGGTAGGGTTGCAGATCTTTGGCTGCCTTTCAGCGGCAAAAGGAAGCCAAGACAGAAAAACCAAACCAGCTGGATGAATCTGAATGAGGTCGCAAAGGTGGAGCACTGAAAGGCTCATCGACAATGGATGCATATATGGATGCCCACCCCAGAATTTGTGATGTTCAATGTCCAGGTCATTCCCATCCAACCATGGCAAACGAAACATGATTAGAGTAAGGCCCAGTTATAAATGAATATTTTATTGTTTGCTTCACTTTGAGTCACTGGGAAAATGCAAAATGTACCCCAGGAAATGCCAAAAGCCGAATTCCGAGAAAGTATCTGAAAAAGTGCATCGCTTGAAGCCACCGAATCCGACAGAGGCCACCCGTTGAGTGGCCAAGCCCCTTGCCTTGCCACATGCGAGTCCAAAAACAAGGATTCCGAATGAATTGTTAGGGCAAAGTAGGTTTCCTAATAGTCGAATGGCAGCGATAATCCCAGCTTTCTCCAAGCCAAAGAGCCTAGGGCGAACGTTTCCCAGGCAGGGGAAGGTTCCATGCGGGCTTTGTTGTTCACTATCCATGGATTGTTGACGCAACACAGGGCGAATTCCCTCAAACCGTTCTTTTTCCCCTTCCTTTGGTGTCCCCTTACATCCACCCAAAAATGAGTTCTCCCTCCAAAAAGGACACAACAAAGGGGGCTGTGAGCCTGCTGATGGCATTGCAAGGTCTCTCTGCAGTCTCCAGGAGCACCAAAAGGCGATGTGTGAAGCTGAAAGGGCACGTGTGCGTACATCACAATGCACGACATGCAGCAAATGATGATTGTTGCAAATAAGGGAAGTCTTTGCATGAGCGATATAGCTCGGTTGCTTTCTGGCTGCACAAGCCAGCCCCGTCCCCATCGGCCCAAAATGCACCCAGCAGCATGTGATACATCTTCCACGAAGCAGCAGTCGCAGCGCGCGTATTCGGCCTCCTCGCGAGCGGCAAGCTTTGGCTCGATTCAATTTCTCCGAAGTGTCTGACATGTGACAAGAATGAAGGAGTGCGTGTTTGTTCTTCGGGTTTGTGAGTTGGGGGTCCTTCTCATCTGCTTGTCCGCTCACCCACTATTGGATTGGCTCTTAGCATAAGGTCAGGTGACTTAGTTGGTTTCCAGTGCACGGGGCAAAGCTAATGCCAATGACTGTGGGGCCTGGTGTTTCCATGGATCGCAGAAGACCTGCCAATGTACCCGGCACACTGAAGAAACAGCCGTTACATGGTACTTGTAAAGGCCAGTACCATTGGCATACATAGAGAAAACATGCCCAAGACCCTCCGGAACCACCCTTGAAAGCTGCTCCGAACTAGCCCAGAGTCCATTCGCACATGACATTCAATTTCCCCTCAGGCTCTGGGCACGCGCTCATCTTTGAGCCGAATCCGCCCTAACAATGACAGGACAAATGGCACTGCCTCCTATGTACGATGCATCCAATTTCCCCCGGCCGCCACGACCATCACCCATTGTCCATGCCTTGATATAACTCCTAGACCGTTGCACCTGCACCGACGGAACGGTGACTGTCCAAGGGAAGTCGACCAAACGCCGACCATTTGTCTTCTTCATTTGTCTTCTTTTGGCGCAGGCCTCCAATGGAGGCAAAAAAACGCCATCCTGAGCTAGCACCACTGGAGGTCTGGGTCGGGGATTCGAACACCTGTACCCGAAGTCTCCATGACGACAAGGACCTTCCAACAGCAGGGGCCCACCACGACCTATGAGGGCACTCCTCAAAATCCTGTTACCTCCCATGTTGGATTCCCCTTTTTTTTGCCTTGTGCAAAGGGCCTTAGCCCGATAAAAAAATCGGCTCCTCCCGGCTCACCAAGTCTTCCCCGCGCTGGATCCGCAGCCCCAACCTGTGCTCCGCTTTGGGCGTCGGGTGGCCCCTTGGTTGCCTACCAAATACAATATGGCTGCGGCTCAAAAAACCGGAATTCCAAAATGGGTTGTCCTGGTAAGTGGAAACATGGATCAACACCTGCGTAACATGGCCATGGGTCAAAATCCAAATCTTACCCTCGGTGAACATCCGATTCAATCCACACTAAAATAGGTTCTAAAATGGGTGGTGAATTCACCTACCCCAAAATGGTACCATTGGTTTTGACCCACGGCCATATAAGTCACTTGCTCAAAACCCGGTATTAAAATGGTCGACTCAGAACTATGCTTCAGGAATTAAGAAGGCGGATATCCGCAGCTATTTATGGTTGGGATTGCCCCTTACCAACCTTCATCTACCCGGGTTTTGATTGTGGCTCATATGTTAATTGGAAGAACTGGGAATGGCGAGTCAGGGGCTAAATAGTGGCTGATCAACTAATGCAAAACTCATGGGGAGGTTCAGAATTCAGAAAATGGGGAGGTTCAGAATTCAGAAAATGGGGAGGTTCAGAATTCAGAATTCAGAAAATCACCCTTGCGGCTTGATCGAACCTTTTCGAGGCGATCCCAAACAAAGCTCCTTCAAACTGGGAACCAAGAAAGTTGGCCAGGAAAGGAAAGTTGGCGCTAGTTATCATGCGGTGTTTGCAAACACCGAATGTTTTGGAAGATTTCGAAAAAAGCGGGCAATCTGCGGATTGATCTGTTAAAGTACTTGTGGCGATGAACAAACCAATGTCAGTCAGCAAGCCGAATTCCCCCAACACCTTTTCCGGGGTCCCCTCGGATTGAAAGACTACTTGGAAGTCTCAACATGGGCACTCTCCAACACTCCTGATGTCAAATAGGACATTTGCTAAAATTAAGCTGTTGCTCAAGACCACAATTGGCTATGTAGCCGAAGACTTGCAAACTTCAGTATGTGCAACCAAAACGCCGCGTATAAACCAAAGAATTCAAGCATCCTTTCAGGATGGTCCTACTCACTTCATCTCACTTTCTGAGTGGATTAGCCAAACAAAGTCCAAACTGTTCATTCACCACCAAAATGGTCTTCCCAAAAAGTGTAAAGTCCAGGAACTCGGGAAGTGATCCTAAGGCGCCCAAAATGGTCAAAGTAGCTCCTGAGAAGGTACTTGGACCCCGTAGGGTACGGATGTCAGTCAAACGCCTCTTTTCTACGCACAGCATCCGAGCACTGTGCGCTCTGAGCACGGCTGAGGAACATACTTGTCGGCACCAGTATCAATTGATCATCTATGAACGCCTCTTTCATCCGCCAAAAAACAGTGTCTCAAACATTCTTAATCCCTTTCCATTTCACGTCAACTTGCTTGGTGCTTCGCTTTCTGCCACGCTCTCTCTGCGATGCGAGTGTCATGAACTGGCTCTGAAAAGCCGATGTGCGAAGGCCCCGGATGGCTCCGGTCCAAGCTGCAGCGATCAGCGCTGGTGATACAGTGATATATAATCATACCCTGTCTCCATCCCCCATGAATAAATAAATGCAGATTGCGAATGCTTCGTTCGGCAACTAGTGGGACTAACAGGCTCTCAGTAATTCCTTTGTATCGGTCATTAGGCGGCCGGAGCCGGCGACCGCACGTTGAATTGCAGGACCCGGCGACCGGTGAAGCCTTTGTCACGGCCACTTGCCTACTCCGCGGCCCGGCTCAGCGGCTCGACACAGCCCTGTGTTTCCAAAAGATGCTCACTTCAATTGGGGGCAAACGGTCTTCTGTACCAACAAAAACAATCCCTACCACCAGCCTCTGAGAGTACTACATGTGGCGCTTGGATCGCTCAGTCTCTTTGTACAGCTCCACGCAATTGCTGGAGAAGGGGGAGCATGCGCAGACCGCGGCTGCGCCGGCACCTAGGCGCTTTGCCCCAAAAGGCATCCCTTAAGTTGAACCAATCAATGCTTAACAAAACTGCCTCAGAACACCCCTGATTGCATCTGAAAGAACTACTCTATCAGCCTAGCCCACACAATCGTGGATTCAACAGCTGAGTAACAATCAACACCTGGCATATCATGGTTGTGGGATTCCAATACAGCAGGGGAAGCCACGACCATCTGCCATGAGGGATTTAGGATTCATTTTGAACAATCGGACAGATCCTACAGTGGGACAACCAACCTATGGTGCATTGACATAAAGTGAATAAAGGTACCAAATCGAGCCACGGAATCCATGCGATACTTCCTTGTGTTTCACGCGTTGTTGAAATGTTGCCACCATCTTTCAGCGAACGCCGTTCGCCGATTCAAACGTTTTTTTTGGTTCCCCCTTTTTTTCCGCGGCCCGGGGCGCAGTAGACTTGCCGCTCCTCCATGGGCGGCATCTTCAGCCAGCACTGCTTCGTGGGGTCGAAGCACTCCCCGGCGAGGGCGAGGTCCTGGCGCCAAGGGGAAAGCACCTCGCGATTGTCCATGTGGCCATGGGTCAAAATCCAAATCGTACCCCCAGTGAACATCCGATTCAATCCCCACTAAAAAAGACAAAATGGGTGGTGCACCTACCCCAAAATGGTACCATTGGTTTTGACCCACATGCTTGTCTTTCGCGGGGCACTTTTGGGGAGAAGTCACCCACCCAAAACTGGGACAAGGTCCCAAGTAGTTCGGACTATGGACTAAAAGGGGGAATTAGCTGGCAAACCTGTGTGGGTTCATGCTGACGGGGTTGTTGCAAATCACCCCTCTGCGAAACACAAAGCACGCTTTGCTGGCTAGTGGCTGGGCGTAGTTGGTTCCGGCGGGCCAAACAAGAAATCCATTGACCCAACGCTGTGCTTGGGCGAGCCACTCTGACCGTACCTGGACATCCGACATGATCAACCCAACATCCATCCGCATTCCTCCCACAGAAGTGATGAGAGCATGAGAGCTACGGTCAATACACTGTGGTTCCAGTACGGGCCCGCGAACGAGTGAGTGACTGGTCGTGTAGTAAGTCCTCCAGAATCCTGTCACACGGATCAAGGACTACTGGAAATTTGATGGAACCTCAAAGAGCATGTAAAGACAGTTTCCCGCATGACAAAATATTTTAGGTCACAACGCTCCTGCCACAAGGCCGCCCCCAAACACGACAAGCGCGCTCCTCGGAAGACTTGCCGCCGAAGACATAGAAGAGGCCTGCACAAAGCCAACGAAACCTGGGTATCAAATGGGTGGCCTAGACAACATGTTACACATGTTTGGTTACCCTTTAACTTAAAACGAAATAAGTGTATCAACATGGCTATTGGTTGCTGCCACTGCAACTGCGAAAACAAACAAAAAATGTCAAATGTGGATTTGGTGGAAAATCAACGCATCGCCAAAAAACAATCAATGCCAAAGCATAATAAAACCTGGAGGACATCAACACCCAGTGAAAAGCACCAGGTTGTCATTCATGCAGAACAAGCGCTTAGTCACCCGCGGTTTTGCCACAGTTGAGGTCGAGTTGCCAATCACGCGGCAAACCGCCTGATTTGTTAGCGTAAACAGTTTGCACAGTTTGACTTTCTCAAAGGGCATAGTACAACAGAAGTGCTAAACAACTCTAAAACAGGAAGAATGCGCCAACATATCCAAACCCGAACCGCTTTCCAGCAACACCGCGGCCATTTGCGCGTTCACCAAACACTATGTGGGCAGGGGCGCTGCCACGTAGAAATAAAGCTCTCCACCGGGGCTCTTGGACAAACAAACAGACAGGCAAACACTCGCGGCCGTTGGCGTGAAACAAGGCCAAAGCCAAAACGCATGGCCCTGCCAGGACAAACAAGCTGCGTGGCCAGTTGAAGATCCGCCACGCATTTGCGACTGGGGAGCAAGGTGTCCCAGTGGATGCCTAAGTTGGGCCTCCCAAGTCCGTTTGAGCGGCTGGCTTCCCGTGAGCAAGAAAGGTTACGCTTCTTGGCCTCCACGTCAGGGGAGGAAAGATTTGGCGGATCCAACCGCCATGTCAGAAGCGCGGCTGGAACAGGAAGAGGCGACGCCCAAGGTTTTGCAGGACGGCAGGCTGCAGCTGGAGGCGCTGTTCGACGCGTCCAAAGGAGGGAGCTTTCTTGAGCGCACATAGCGAGAGGAGTTGAATCCATTGGTGTGGCTGCGCGGAAGGGAACAATTGCGCGGCTCCTGCTCCAATGGGTCAGGCTCCTTGGATGGAAGGTCTTGCTTTTCTTGCAGCGGCAGCTTCATGCCAGTTTCCTTTCCAAAACGTTTGACCATTGGGGCACCACCCTCGTCGGCGGGCATGAAAACACAGAATGAAGATCCCACCACTGGGCCCCCGTTTTTGTCCTCCCCATGTTTGAACCCAATTCCAGCGCTGGCACCACACAAGTCCCCCGCCCATGCGCGCCTTGAGCTCTAAAACTGGGTCCATTAAAGTGACATGAATGTGTATATACATATATATATATATATTTATTTATTTATTTTATGGCCAACCCCCAGAAGTAGTTCGAAGTCCTCTGAACGCAGCCCCGCCCATCAGCCCATGCCCCCCCCCCCCCCCCCGCCTCCCGTGGTGGCCGCTGCGCCTCCCACCCGCGGGGTGGCCATGGGGACATTCTCGCTCCAGAAGCCCCTGGAGGGGTCGAAGCACTCCACCTCGGCGAAGCAAACCTTGTTGTGGGGCTCAAAATTCGACGCACATCTTGGGTTGGGGGGCTTCGGTGTTCGGGTAACAGTTGGCTGTGGTGGTCAAAATCGTTTTGGGATCCCGCTTTGGGGTAGGTGAATTCACCACCCATTTTGGAACCTAGTGGGGATTGGGATGTTCATTGCGGGTACGATTTGGATTTTGACCCATGGCCATTTGTGTGGGGCTCAAAAATCGATTGATACTCCTGATTGTAGTCTTTGGTTCCATTGACCCAGGTTCCAAATGGACGTCGGACGGACCCACTGACACCCTTTGCAATTGCCAAAAAAGACTTTTCACCTGCTCTAGCCAAGTCCTCTCCAACG